GAAGTCTGAAAATGTCATTACACTGTCCCCTTAATATCCAACCCACTTACCAGTGAGAATCGTTACCCAAAGAGCAGGAGAGCCAAGTGCTGCACAGAGGTCAGGGCTTCCCTGTGCACACTGCACGTCCTGCACCCTGCTCACAAATGCATCTTGGTTTCCAGAGCAGCAGCAGCAGCTCTGGTCTTGCTGCTCAGACATAGAGAAAGGGCAAGAGAGGGGCAGGGCAGGAGCAATGGATGAGCCACCAGGGAGATCCATCCTAATCTCCACTGGCAAGAGCAGATTTGGCTGACTGCACATTTCCCCTTGACTACAAACTTCTTCTAGGGCCTAATTTAGGGAAATTTGTGATATAGGGCAGAAAAGATCATGTTGTCACTGTGCATCCTGGTGATGACATCAAACCCCAGGCACAACCGCCCACAGAGAAGGTCCATATTCTGCAACAGCCAGTTTCCTTCTCCATGCCAGAGCTGAAAACCACAGTACCCACTGGGCATGGGCAGCTGTGCAAGAAGAACAAAGGTATGGTCTTATTAATGGGGGGGGGGGGGGGGGGGTGGTGATATTTGTTTTAACCACCAGATTTGGAGGAAAGAGTTGGTTTCATTAAAGGCAGACCCTGTGAAGTGGAAGGGAGCAGAGCAGGCCTGAGGGACATGCAGGCAGCACGGCTCCCACGCAGGTGCAGGGGAACCTCCTGCACTCACCGCATACTTGCTGTGTTCTGGCTGTTACAGGCTTTTCGAGTTACTGAAAACAGGAATGCTGGCTTTCTGATTTTAACTGAATTCCTATTACAGACAAGCACCACATGTGCAAGTGAGAGATGGATTAAAAAATCATCACTTACGGGATGAGAAACATCTTTAACTGCTTTCTAACATAAACACATGCCAAAATCACATGTGTGCCAGCCAGAAAGGCCCTACCGCAGCCCCAGCATGCAGGTCCCTCCACCCCAAGCATCATTCCATTCCCATAGCCCATCCCCTGACAACATAAACTAAATATTAATTAATGTGTACTTATGTGTAATGCTCATTGACCTGGCATGTTGACACCAAGCCACACAGAATATCACTGATGTCCCCACAGGCTGGAGGCCACCTTCACCCTGCATGGAGGTGATGATCCTATCTTTTCCTAAAGAATTTTACAGGCCTCCTTTTGCAGCAGGGAGATGCTCCCCTTGATGTGTGAAGCTTCACCCTTAGATGGATTTGTATTGCCAGTGAAACAAAATCTCATAGAATCACAGAACATAAAATGGTTTGGGTTGGGAGGGACCTTAAAGCTCATCCAGTTCCAACACCCTGCCACGGGCAGGGACACCTTCCACTAGACCAGGTTGCTCCAAGCCCCATCCAACCTGGCCTTGAACACTGCCAGGGATGGGGCAGCCACAGCTTCTCTGGGCAACCTGTGCCAGGGCCTCAGCACCCTCACAGGGAAGAACTTCTGCCTAAGAGCTCATCTCAGCCTCCCCTGTGTCAGGTTAAAGCCATTCCCCTTTGTCCTGTCCCTACAGCCCCTTGTCCAAAGCCTGTCCCTAAATGTGGTGGGTTATAATGAGAAACTATGCCTGATAAATCCTCAACTCCTTCCCAACAGCTTTAGACTCTGCTCAGGGGATTATAAACCTGCATTTAAATGGCTGCACAGCCCTGGACTTACTGTTCAACAGCAGAACTTATGTTCCCAGCTTGTCTTATTTTTAAAATCAGGCTTATGACAGCTGATGTTTCTTCCTAAATCCTCAGCTTCTGGAATCATGCAATGACATGCAATCCAGGGCTGGGGGGAAGGAGGACTGTTCTAGACAGAGCTTTTTTCCTGCTGGCTACAGGCAGAAAATCTGACAGCCCAAACCCAAAGCCTTAGCAAAGGCAGCAGACAAATAAAAAGTGAAGTCCTTCTTGCTAAGTACTACACTTGTTTGTTTTACTGACACTTTAATGATATGTCTATAATCAAACCCAGCTGAGTTCCCAGGAATTACTTTATCCCCTGCTCCTGTGATCCAGACAAGTAACCTTGCAAAGGCAGCAGCCAGGAACTGAGCCAAAGCAGCAAAAAGTGATGACTTAGGTCCCTTGACAAATATTTTACAGAGGTTTAAAATACAAGTTGTAAGATTTCAGGGGGTGGAAGTATCCAGTCCTTCTTTCTTCCTGCTGTTTTGTGGTTGTGCCCTGTGCATCATTTCAGCTCCTCCACCGCACCAGAAAATTTACCTTTTCTTCTCCACTCCCCTCACCCTGGTTCTGAATGCCATCCAAGACTCTCACATAAAGAGTCCCTTATGAGAGCTGGCAGCCCTGAACCAGGACAGGAGACTGCAAGCATGGCTTGTTCCTCAATTACCTGGTATTACGTTCTCGGCACGCTGGCTGCTCCTGGAGAACAAGTCCTGATTTATGGCGGCATGAGTAGCTCCGGCCAGTGCTCCCCAGGGAGAGGTTTCCACTGTAGTCAGTGGGAAACTCTTTCCACCGGGTGTAACGGGAGCAAGAGAAGTTGTTGTTCCTCCCAGACTCTTCACACACCATGATGAGACTGCTAAAAGGTGAACAAAGCCAGTGCAATTCCAGTACACAACCAGAGCACGCTGGTAAGTCATGACGTATCACCAGCACTGTGTAACCCCACTGTTCTGGGGTGAGGAAGGAGGATCATGGGCAGACGAGCAGAGACCAGGGCAAGGAGCAGCTTCACCCACAGCTCAACTCCTGTGGCTCAGCCCTAACTGTATTTTTCCATACTAGAAACCCCAGGTTCCAGGACTCGTGCCCTCCAGCACAGACCCTAATCCGACCCCCCAACCAATGGCTTTACAGACTGCACTGCCTTGCCAGCACCCTGCACAGGGTCCCTCACTGTCCACCAGTGCAGACCCCAGGAGCAAAGGTGTCCCTGTAGCAAGACAGGTTGGTGCAACTCTGGATGAAGTAATTTCTCTTGAGATTGAGCTCAGAAAGGCAGTGGGGAGTGAGAAGCATCACAGCCACATCTCAAATACTAGCAGTTGTATGGCACTGCCACCCTCACTTTGCCTGATGTCTGCAGCATTAAAGAGATGTGAACTGTCACCCTGACTAAGCAGGCCCTGGGAATGGTGCAGCATATGCCGACAGTGAAAATAAACCCCATCTCCGAGTGGTAAGGGGTTCCAGGAACCAGGAAAGCAGCTCCAGGACTGCTCGTGTACCCCAGCAATCCCCAGCAATTGCTGAGGTTGTCTACACTGCAAGTAGGTGCAATTTTGGGGACACTGGGAAGCCTCACGGAGTGCCTTCCCTTCACATTATCCCAGCAAGGATGCTCCAGAGGCAACAACAGAGAAAGACATTCACATCATCAGAAAACGTATGTCCCAGGCTATCATCCAGCTGCAATCAAAGCAAATGCAGCATTTCCCTGAGGCTACTCCAGCAAAATATCCTCCACCGAACCAGCTCTTCACAACAGATCCTTTCCACACGCCCAGAGCTTTTGTTTCCAGCCTTTCTCCTCCCATCACTCCGTTCGCTGCTTCCTAACAGGCTTCAGTGGGATTTCTGGCCCATAATAAAACATTTTGTGACCCTAGAGAAGCCCAGTGGCATCACATGCCAGCATAAAAGCCTGGCACCTGGGCTTGCAGGAGGAGGCTGGTGCTGGTGATAGGGGAACAATATCAGAGCTGAGCACCCCTGGGCTGTGATTGCACTGGCCTGTTCCTGACTCCAGCTTCTCCAGCAAGGTTCAAGTGCATCTCCAGGAAGCTTCAAACCTGGGGCTCAAGGTTCACAGGGATCCTTCTAATTCCTTCCCAAGAAGCAGCTGAGACTCTTGGGGAGTCAGCAGCAAGGACCCAACCCTTCGGAGACGTTTCTGCTACCAAAGCTGAGCTCTCATCTCACCTCCAACTTGTGTTCCACCCTCTCTGCAGTGACCTGCTCCAAAGGGTGTGTTTGCCCACCAAGTCCTCCAGCCTGGCTGGCTTCAATCCAGCCACTTGCCTAAATAAGGGTTACTCACCCAAAGACTTATTGCATCAGGTCCTCAGGGTGGTGGAGCTGATGGGAAAACACCTCCCTGCCTGCCATGCTCCAGGCACCCCACAGTCGTGGTGGACAAGGTCTTGCCGGGCACGGAGGAGTGAGGGGCAGCCCATCTGCGAGCATGAATCCCCTCAGTCCCCTCAGAACTGCGCTGCATGAAAGGTATCATCACCAGGCAGAACAACATTGGGCTGCAAACAGTCCCCCAAGAAGCACTTCTGCACTTCCCAGCCATCAGCTCACTGGATCCCTCTGGAACCCGATGCCAGAGGAGAAGCAGCAGCTGCCAGGAGAAACCCCAACCAGAAGTCCCAGGCCCGGGGAGCAAAGTCACGTGGCCCCAGCGCTAGCCTGGGCTTTGTGCGCCCGGTTGGCAGCGTTAGGAGCGGATGCAGAGGGAAGTGGGAATGGGAGGGACAAGTTCTACCCAGTGCAGAAACGGAGTGGCCTTGGCTGGGGAGCAGGGTGTGAAGCGGCTGGGAGGAGGGGATGAGGGAGGGTGTCCCAGCAGATGGGGGTTGTGATCGAGAGGTTGGAAGGTCTGTCCTATGGGATGAAGGTCTGTCCCAGGGGATGGAAGTTCTGCCCTGGGGATGGAAGGCAGAAGGGATACCACACACTCCCAGGACAAGCCGGGGACACGCACACACACACACTGCGTTGCAGGTCCCCAGGGATTTCTGGCGGCCAGCGCCATGCTCCCTCTGGGATGCCCGAGGTCTCCGGTCTCCGCCGGTGCATTCCCCGCGGCTGTCACTACCCACCGGACTCACGGGGGACGATCCCGCCGCGGGCCCGGCTCAGACACCGGCGGGTCCCGCTCCTTGACCCCTTCCCCTCTTCGGTATCTCTGCGGCGCGCCCAGTACTCACCCGCGGTACTCACCCCGGTTCTCACTCACCCTCGGTTCTCACCCACCCCCGGTTCTCACCCACCTCGGTTCTTACTCACCCGCGGTACTCGCCGCCGGGGTCGAGCAGCTCCTGCGGGGCCGCGGCTCAGAGCCTCCCGCTGCCGCCCCGGCCACGGTAACGGGGGAAGGAGGGAGGGCGGTGATGCCGGGGGGAGGGGGCGCGGCCATGGCTGGGCCACCCCCGGAGAAGCATCCTGCCTTTCGAATTAAACAAACCCACAAGGATCCACCCCAAAACTTCCCAGATGGCTCTTGGGCTCTTCGCAACAGCAAGCAGCTTTTAAAAAAACCCATGCAATGCGGCTCGGAAACGCGTTTCCGCGTTATCCACCCAGCAGCAGCGAACACGGAACTTCGGTGGATAATTTTGAACCAAACGCACCGGTTTCTGCGCTGCCTGGAGGCCGGTGGGTCTCATCCAGCCCGGCTGCTGCGGGTGCTCCTGGTGCCGAATCCAGCCCCGGGTGCGGGTGCTGTCCGCAGAGCTGTCCGAAGAGCTCAGGGCACGCGGCTGGCAGCATCGCACCGACGCTCCCCTGCTCCATCCAAGCAGTCGTACCTTCCAGCCTGGAACTGCAGCGGTTTCCACCCACCGTACCGTGAGCAACCTCAGCTGACGCTTGACGGTCACATCATCAGGCGTCAGGGATATTTATAGAGAGAGTTTTGATGTGGAGATAGGGTAATATCGGGTGTCCTGGGCTGCATCCCCAGAGCGTGAGCAGCAGGTGGAGGGAGGGGGATTCTCCCCCTCTGCTCCTCTGTGGGGAGACACCCCCCCCCCCCCCCCCGCAGTCCTGCATCCAGCTCTGGGGCTACAACACAAGAGGGACGTGGAGCTGTTGGAGTGAGTCCAGAGGAGGCCACGGAGATGCTTCTGAGGGCTGGAGCAGCTCTGCTCTGGAGACAGGCTGAGAGAGCTGGGCTGGTTCAGCCTGGTGAAGAGAAGGCTCCTTAAGGGGAGGCCTTAGAGCAGCTCCAGTGCCTAAAGGGGATACAAAAGAGGGGCTTTGGACAAGGGCCTGTAGGGACAGGATGAGGGAGAATGGCTTTAACCTGACGGAGAGTTTTGTCCCTTAATTTTCACCCCCATACCCTAATGCCAGGCTTATTATCGACATAATAACTTGGAAGTTACAGGCTCATCAGGTTTACCTCCACCTAATTCTGCTGGCATCAAGTTTACACCAGGAGCAGATCTGGCATTTTAGGAAGATTTTTAGGACAAAGTTTTTTCCTGTGAGGGTGCTGAGGCCCTGGCACAGGGTGCCCAGAGGAGCTGTGACTGTCTCATCCCTGGCAGTGTTCAAGGCCAGGCTGGACGGGGTTTGAAGCAACCTAGTCTAGTGGAAGGTGTCTCTGCCCATAGCAGAGGGTTGGAAGTGGATGAGCTTTAAGGTTCCTTCAAACCCAAACCAGTCTGGGATTCTGTAATAGTAATACTGGAAGCCTCCCTCTGAGGCTTCAGATCAAATAAACCATTTTATTTGTACAGAGCCCTTTACTATGGGCTCTGCTCATGCTTTTAAAGATCACGGGCAAAAGCAGCAAGTCCCATCTTCCCCCTGGACAGCCTTCCCCTCTCCTGCAGCTTCAGCTGTTAAAGCTGGAAGAGTTTCAAGACAGCAGACTGGATTTTGACATGAACAAGGTCCCCCCCCTTTGCCAGTCCCACTCCCTTCTTGGCACCCCAGGAGTGGGTAGGGGACCAGGGTGGGCTTACAGGTCACAAATGCTCCTGCTCAGTGCAGTGCCACAACAGGCAGCCTCCAGCTAAAAGCTGAGCCTAAGTTTTTTAGGCACAAACCCTTTCTTCCTGTGTTAACACAGCCAGAAAACATCACAGGAAGGGATAAGGTTGCACCTAGAAGAGGAATTAAGTGGGAAAAGTGGGGTCTGCACCAGCCCTGTCCTCCTCCCTCCATGCCTGTGGCTTAAACTGTCACTCGGGAGTGAGGGAGAAAAGGGAGAGGCAGGCAGTCTTTCATGAATGCCAATGTGACTGTTTTCTCCACTATCAGTTTTCCCTGTGTTTACTCTCCTGCTCAGTGATGTCTGTGAGTCACAGCAGATTCAGCACTACCTGGACCCGGTTTTAGCAAGGATAACCAGCGGCTGCATTTCCAGCTCTTCAGAACAGCAGCCATGGTGTTCAAAGCCCAGCCCAGTATGGCTCTGGCTGTTCCACAGCACAGAATTCGGGGTCCTCACCGGCCTCCGGCAGTGTGGTTATTAAGAGCAGGGTATTTCTTGCTAAAGATCTGGTCTCGGGGGCAAAATCTCTTCCGTGTTTGTCATCAGTGATGACCAGCTCAGACATTGTTTTCTGGAGACTGCAGGAGCCTGAAACAACATGGGTGTCTGGAGCATCCCAGTGCATTTCCATTTTTGGGCTGTGATAAATCTGAAACCCAATAATAACAACTCTAAAGAAGGCCCATGCTGATCAGCTATTTGGGAACTGGTTTGGTATTCAACCATCACACACAACATCCAACAGCCTCACATCTTCCTGCAAACCAGAAGATTCCTTTCATCACTCAAAATTGTATAAAGTTTCCAGGTTCCCCTTGGAAAGTTTCAGGCTCAAGCTGGAGCGCTGACATTAGAAGCGCACTGAGAATGGGAAGCGGGCTGTGGGAGGGCGGCCCAAAAGTCCTTGTCATTCGGTGTAAGAAACAAAGAGAGGGCTGGAGTGTTGTGTCTCGGGTACAACTCAGTCCAAACCTCTCTTTTTCACAAACGAGACCCACGCTCTTAAAACGCAGCAGAGACAGGGGTTCCGCCGAAGGCGGCAGCGGCTTCTTCCCGTTTTTAGGGTTAGGCTGACACCCGGTGTTCTGGAAAAGATACTGCAACGTCCCGCGAGTCCCTGCCCTGGCATGCATTGGGGTGGCGGCTCTCTCAGGCCAGATGCGTACCTGGGAGCTGAATCTGGGGAAGAGCTTGAGAAATGGATGTGTGCACTTAGGTTTCGGAGGCCCTCTTGATCATCCCAAGTCAAGAGAAGCTCTACAGCAGCACTTATAGCATGCTTCATGTTCCTGCAAACCTCATGGTGCACATGTACACTTCCTATGTTCAGGAGCCAGGGAATCTGAGGTCTCACCTATTTTTAAGTAGCACATTTTATTGCAAGGGGAAACAGAGACATAATTCAAACCCAAGAAATCTCTCTACAGTGGCTGCTCTACCCAAGACAGCCATGTAGGGTCAGCACCCACCACCCAGAAACAAAAGAGAGAAAAAAAGTGGAAAAACATGCTCATCAGAGCAGCATTCTCATTTATTCAGTTGGAGTACATTTTCCCCATGAAAAAAAAAAAGGAGGAAAAACAGTCAAGAAAGCATATTTTACACTGATAAAAGAGATAAAAATGCCCCATCACAGGCAGTGTTCAAGGCCAGGTTGGATCGGGCTTGAAGCAACCTGGTCTATTGGAAGGTATCATAGAATCATAGAATCATTAGGGTTGGAAAGGACCTTAAGATCATCTAGTTCCAACCCCCCTGCCATGGGCAGGGACACCTTACGCTAAATCATATCACCCAAGGCCTCGTCCAACCTGGTCTTGAACACTACCAAGGATGGAGCATTCACAACATCCCTGGGCAACCTGTTCCAGTGCCTCACCACCCTAACAGTAAAGAATTTCCTTCTTATATCCAACCTAAACTTCCCCTGTTTAAGTTTTAACCAGTTACCCCTTGTCCCATCACTACAATCCTTAATGAAGAGTCCCTCCCCAGCATCCCTATAGGCCCCTTCAGATACTGGAAGGCTGTTATGAGGTCTCCACACTTCTCTTCTCCAGGCTGAACAGCCCCAACTTTCTCAGCCTGTCTTCATACAGGAGGTGCTCCAGTCCCCTGATCATCCTTGTGGCCCTTCTCTGGACTTGTTCCAACAGTTCCATGTCCTTTTTATGTTGAGGACACCAGAACTGCACACAATACTCCAGGTGAGGTCTCACAAGAGCAGAGTAGAGGGGCAGGATCACCTCCTTCCACCTGCTGGTCACGCTCCTTTTGATGCAGCCCAGGATACGGTTGGCTTTCTGGGCTGCAAGTGCACACTGAAGCTGCCTCATGTTAAGTTTCTCATCTACCAACACCCCCAAGTCCTTCTCCACAGGGCTGCTCTGAATCTCTTCTCTGCCGAACCTGTAGCTGTGCCTGGGGTTGCTCCGACCCAGGTGTAGGACCTTGCACTTGGCATGGTTAAACTTCATGAGGTTGGCATCAACCCACCTCACAAGTGCGTCAGGGTCCCTCTGGATGGCATTCCTTCCCTCCAGCGTATCAACTGAACCACACAGCTTGGTGTCATTGGCAAACTTGCTGAGGGCACACTCAATCCCACTGTCCATGTCAGCGATGAAGATGTTGAACAAGACCAGTCCCAACCCTGATCCCTGAAGGACACCACTTGTTACTGGTCTCCAGCTGGACATTGAGCCATTGAGCCACAACTCTTTGCATGCGGCCACCCAGCCAGTTCTTTATCCACCCAGTGGTCCATCCATCAAATTGATGTCTCTCCAATTCAGAGACAAGGATGTCGTGTGGGACAGTGTCAAACGCTTTTCACAAGTCCAGATAGATGACATCAACTGCTCTACCCCTGTCCATCAGTTCTGTAGCCCCATCATAGAAGGCCACCAAGTTGGTCAGGCAGGATTTCCCCTCAGTGAAGCCATGCTGGCTGTCACCAAGCACCTTGTTGATTTTCATGTACCTTAGCATGCCTTCCAGGAGAATCTGCTCCAAGATTTTGCCAGGCACAGCGGTGAGACTGACTGGTCTGTAATTCCCCAGGTCATCCAATTTCCCCTTCTTGACAATGGGGGTTATACTTCCCTTTTTCCAGTCATCGGGAACTTCACCTGACTGCCATGATTTCTCAAATCTGATGGCCAGCGGCTTCGCAACTTCATTTGCCAGCTCCTTCAGGACCCACGGATGGATCTCATCAGGACCCATGGACTTGTGCACGTTCAGATTTTTAAGATGGTCTCGAACCAGTTCCTCTCCTACAGTGGGCACAAGGTCTTCATTCTCACAGTCCCTGCATTCATCTGCCTTCCAAGACTTGTCCTTTTCCTTCTTCTTTTTGTTGTTTTTTTGTCACTAATTCCCAGCTTCCCAGGTTAACGGCCTCCTTCTTTCCTTCATGAGGTAGAGGTGAAGCTCAAGGCCGCTGCACAGTTTGGGCCAGGAGCAAGCATTCCTGCTTACTCTCAGCTTCCCTCCCTTCCCTGTGGCGGGGGGTTGGAGCTGGATGAGTTCTGAGGTCCGTTCCAACCCAAACCACAGTCTGTGAGTCTATGAAAACAAAATATTGTGACTCCTAAACAAATTCAAATGGAGGAGGGGATGGCATCAGAAGACAATACAGGGGAGGTGAACAAAGATCTGTTTGACTGTGGTGATTCCCCCTGGTTCACAAAGTGTTTTACAACCATAGTAGCTTAAAGTTTCTTGCTGAAATTTAGGGCAACACCAGCCTTTCCATATTATCATAGCATAAACACTGATCATCTGGGGACAATGATTTGAAATTTAAGTCCTGAAGTTCCTATTATGAAAAGGAGGCAATTCTAGATGAAATGGAGCCTGCTGTGAAGTAAACAAAATCACTTATCACCATTTTTCATCTAAAAATCATAGAGGTATTTCATGCATGGTTATACACCATTTTCAAACAGCCTGTTGAGTATATTTTAGCAGGGTCAACAGTTTACAATTTTACATAAATAATTTCACATCCTCTCCTGGAGGATTCTTCCATTGGAGCACCCTATAGGTGTTCTAATTGGGATTAAAGATAATGAAATATGATTTTGGCTTTCTGAATGCCTGAGCAGATACATCTCATCCCCTTGAAGAGAGATTCAATATTTTTCCAAGAACACTGCCTGCTCAGCAACAACTCTTTACAGTCTTTCGCTTTTCTGTACAATAAAAGCTCACAAAAATCAAAACACCCCAAAGTGTTCACATTTGATTCTATGCAGCAAAGGAAGACCTAATAGTTACGGTTTGTAAATGTAGCAACTTTGATCTCCTGGGTTCTTTAGTACAATTTTTAAGGGCAGTGGGGGAAAGATCAATTCCCAGTCAGGCAAGGGCTCTTCTTTGCTAGAAGGAAAAACAGAGTCTTGGGTCTTGGCTTGTTGAATTCTCAGCCAGGCCTCTGGGCACTGGATTGTCCCACAGCCTACAACAACAAACATGTTACTGCAGGACTAAGCATGGCGAGCAAGGAGGTGGCATGCTGAAGACAGTGGAAGAGGCAGCTTTGGGATTTCATCAAAGCAGGCCTGACAGTGAGACAGGATTGAGGTAAGGTCATAATGCAGGACACAGGATTGAGGTATGGCCATATCCCCCTGTCACAGCAGCAACTCAGCAGCTGCCTGCCCACTGAGATGGACTCATCTAGCTTGGGAGAGAGACTTAAAGTTTTGAAAAGTCCTTAGGCCACTAGAATCTCAGAAAGCGGAGGAAGAACTGAGTCACACAAAAGCGACATGATTGACATGAGCCATCCTTCTTCATCTACCTCATCTGGTGTAGTCTACCCCAAAGCCGCCCAGAGTGGGCCTCCACCCTGTGAAGCAGAGTGCCCTGAGGAGTCAAATGGACTGCATGCTGTGCTGTGCCCATCAAGATGAGCAAGCACAGAGGGCCCCAAGCTCCAGCTGGAACCAGAAACATTCCTCTGGCTCTTGGATTGCTCTCACTATTGGGGAAGACAGAGCCAGTTCTGGGGCAGAGACAGTTCAGGCAGGAGCAGACACTTGGCTATGGGACCTGTGTAACCAGAAAGTTCTCAGAGGCACTCTCAGAAAAAGGACTTTTCAAATGAGTGAAGGATGAGTGGGGTCTCTTCTACAGGAGGTTTCTAGTGGAGTTTGATATACTTGGAGACACAATGACAAAGAGTGGGAAAAATCAGGCATCCAAGTATTTGTGAGATACACATCCCAGAACAGAGTGTGACAGAGCAGGAACATATCTCAGAAGTGAAACCGGATGTAGAGAGAAAGAAAACGGAAAAAACGCGACAACTTACTGATAAGGACATTACACAACTGGGTCTTCACTTTTGGTCATTTCAAGCCAATAAGCTATTCAATCCCTTTTCCCCAACTTTCTGCAGAAGTGGAGCTGGTCTAGAAAACACTCAGCTTACTTGGGTTGTGTCTGCATCCCCTGCAACACCCTATTCCATGCCAGCTAACTCAGGGCAGCAGGCTGGCATGGGTCGCAACTATCCCAAGACTGTCCCAACTTCCCCTTGCTGAGCCAATACCCAGCCACAGAGCTCCATGAGAACTGCTCACCTTATGAACTGAATTTCTGGGCATTTGAGAAGTTCCTCTGCCAGTTTTGTGGCCCACAGACACCAATGTGATTTTTCTCCAGACTGTTTTAAAAACAAACGACAGTTTTAAAATCCAAAACCAAATCAAGAGCGGAAAACAGCTGAATAATCCCTGGCTGATTCTCCTGTTCCAGAAGAGCTACACTTATGCATAAGCGCAGCAATGCCATACAACTTACATCAGCCTCATCTGTAATACCATGGCCCTATTTATGCAAGAAGTGTGTCTGCACTAGTCCCTATCTCCCCTGCCTAGCAACAGGGCTTGTAAGCAGAGGTCTTGCCGTTGAAGCACTCTAAAAGATCTTACTGCAACCTTTGTGCCAAAAAGTGCTACTAACAACTTCTCTTGCTTTAGCCACAACCTTCCTGCTTGTACCTGTAAAACAGCCAGGCTCTACTATACGGTTTCCTTGTCCAAGACAAACAAAACTCAGTTCCCCAACTTCTGACCCACAGATTACTGTTTTCATACGGCTGAGGGATGTAAGACATGTACCATGTATTCCAAAGGAGGAAAGTTCCATGAACGGTTCTTGAGCAGAAGATGAAAATCTCTCCCATTAACAGGGCTGGGCTGTGGTGTCACCAGGCCAGTACACAATATGGATCCCTACTGCTGGCTGCACTGCAGTTCCAGCATAGGAGCTGCATCCCAGCTTCCTGTGAACTCCAATGGTCCAACACCCACAATCTGGCTGCTCCATCCTGGGGACGGATTGCTTGCCTTGCTGCAGGCTTTCATAAAGGAAGGCTCTCTGAGCACAGTACCCATCTAGAACATCCCAGACACTGAAGAGAAGTAGAAGCTTGAAGGAGGCAGCTCACCTGAGGTTATTAGGTGATATGAGTCATGTTCTACAAATACCAGTTCGTCTTCCCCAACTCTAACAGAAGGCCTTCACAGACTAGCTTCTGCTCAGACACCTATGCTGCAAACACCTTAAAGAAAATAAAGGCTACTTCAATGCCTAGGTATCACCCAAGCAAGGTTGGCCCTCAGTGCATGGAGCAGGCTAAGCAAGAAGAAGCAGGCAAGAAGCCTGTCTGTCTGTTTTGTACACTGCCTTTTTGGAAGTCCTGTGACTGAAGGCTCAACAACAAAAAAACAAGTCTTCCTGGTGTTGCTTTCAAGGCTGCACTCATTCTAACAGCTTCAGCTTTTCCATCCCTGCGAGAGCACTGGCCAGCTCTCCAGCTCCTCCATCTCCAAGGGCGTTCCACGACAGTCTAAGACACAAGAAATCCCAACTGTGAGTCAGTAGTAAAACTCAAGGGAACAGCAGCAGTCTACCCCTCACAGGTTAGCCTGTTTACAAGAGCTTATCACCAATAAGTTGCTAGTTATACCAGGACATTTGTAGCAGTGAATTATGTCAATTAGTAAATGACTAGTAAATTTATCACTAAAAACTATTTAGAGGCAGGTATCAATAAATATTTAGAAGGATCAGAAGTGTACTGCAGTTGAAAATAGATGCAGACATTAAAACAAGAGTGACCTGTGTGTTGCAGGGTCTCCCCCCCACCCATCCCTACACTCCCATTATCTCCTCCAGGGAAGAGCATTGTCAGAAGCCGTGAGAAAGTGATTTTGAAGCATCATCAGTGATTCCACAGAGTTTCAAGCTGAAGGAGTGGGGAGAGAAAAATAGCACAATGTGCTGGCGTCAGAACCAGTGGGGAATACAACCAAAGCCAGCCATTCTCTGCCCTGGTACTCAATCTTTCAGAGGTGTTCAAAGCATGGCAGCCCCTCGGATAGGGCATAGATACTTCCTTCCCCAAGGTCATTTTCTGATAAACTGTTAAGGTTAATGGAAAAGCTTTGAGAGGCCACAAAAAAAGCAGGTACAGTGAGAGAAAAGCCACCACAAAATATAACTATGTGAATTAGAAAGGCCAGGTTGGACAGAGCCCTGGGTGACATGGTTTAGTGTGAGATGTCCCTGCCCATGGCAGGGGGGGTGGAACTACATGATCTTAAGTCCTTTCCAACTCTATTCTATGATTCTATACTGGAGTTACAACTCTTGTGACTTGAGAAGAGATGACAGTAAGTGAAAATGCAAAGAAGACATGGCTCTCAAAAGAAACAGGGGGCAGCAGTAACTGCCTCACACCCTTCACCAGGATGTGCTGCTCTGTTCTCATCTACCAGCAGACACAAACCATGGCAATACCTCCCCTATTCTAACATACTTCACATCTAAATTACCAACATCCTAATTCAACTTTTTAATTAACAATAAACACGTTAGGAAAGAACAGTGACATCACATATGCAGCAGGAAGAGGTAATTCACATCACCTCCATTCTCCAAATTTTGTATTTAGAAGTTTTATCTCTCCCTAGGTCACTGCATACAGTAGTTCAAAGGCATGTGGCCACAGAAAGCCAGCACAGGCAGACAAGGTTTAATGTCGGAAGTGATCCAAGCTGCCCTGTAGGTAGAGCATTGCAGTGACCTTCGGAGTGTCTCCTCTCAACCTATGTGAAGTGTCTAGGAGGGGTGGTGAGACTGTCACCCTGAGCATGGATGAAGCCCGTGTGACAGTCTCAGGCCTGTGAGCTGGAATAATTCTCACTCACAGAGTGATACGATCCATCCATTTGACGTCATCCCAAGTGATGGGATGGTAGGTATCTACCATGTCCTACCTGATCTCTTTCAGCAGCCCACACGCCACCAGGGCTCTGGCCAGCTCCATGCCTCCTGCTGGCCCAATGTTATTGTTCTGCAAGCTAACAAAAGAAACACAAGCATTGGAGGATTATTTTAGAATAAAGCTGTAATAAAAGCTCATACTTAATTTGCCAAGAAGATAATTGCTACTTCTTTTGAACCAGCTGGTAATAACCTGGAATCCCTGTGGATTAATCTTAATGAAGGGGCCTGGAAAACAGGGAGGCAGCAGTGGGGGCCAGCAATGTGGCCAGCCAGTTGTTGTCCATAACCCTTAGCCCCAAGGACATGGAAGTTCATGAGTTTGGCCATGCTCACAAGGCAGGAGCACAGTCAGCCAGTCACTGCAAAAGCCATAGCTGCATATTACCACCAGGAGTCTGTCCCCAGTTCTGTGCACGTGGGATCAGATTGGGATGAGTGGTGAACAGCCCAAAGAACAAAAAGCAGATGGGAATTCCCATGTCTCAAGATTTTTTAACATCTTTCCAGTGAAGACAAGAACCTACCCAGAAGACTAAAGTCTCTCACCACTGGGATTCCTTTTCTAAGTTATCTTTTGATCATACCTTAGACACATGCTGCAAGACACACCACTAGGCTAACTAAGCCTGCTGAGCTCTTCTAGCTCCCAAATTTCTTGCTTTGCTATTGTAAAACAATATGAGGAAGTCTTGCATGTTAGAGCCTTGGAAAGACTCCATAAAAGCTTTAAAAATGTAGTACTGGATTCAGGGTTAAAAATAAGTCAGAGGTGCCTGCACAAAACACTGAGAACCACAAAAGGTACTCTTATTTATGTTTACAGTACACCAGAACAAAAGGACAGCCTGAGGCATCAGAAGCTAAAATAACCCATCAGAAGAGTTATTTTACTGTATATACAATACCTGGTTCATATCTAAAGGTAACGCTGTAAGAGATTACACAAGAATAGTTGATGTGACTTGAGGCTTCAGAGTAATTGTAGAGGGTTTCACAATCCTCACACACCGAAAATAATGTCTAAACAAGAGACCAGTGCATCACTGCAGTCGATGCCTTTTCCAATGCCTTCTTTCAACCATCTCACATATTCCCAGGATAACCAACATTCCTGGGGCAGAGGTCAACACTTACTGCAGGACCTTCAGGCTGGTCATGTGAAGCAGACAGCGGGCAAGTTTCACTGCTGGCCCAATTCCAAAAAAATTTTGAGATAGCCTGAAGCAGAAACTGAACGTCACTGGCAGAGAACTACAGAGCCTCATCCCTCACATGTGTGTCACCCACAGGGATCTGTGATCCCCGTTCCTCACCCACATATGCATGGGATTATGCTGAAAGGAGCTAATGTCCATGATTCAAAGGACAATGAGGGCAGGGGGAAAGAGCAACTAGGTTTTGTAATCCTGCATCAGAAGTTAAACAGGGAAGTAAAACAGCCTTGCACTCCTCAGGAGCACAATGACTTCCCTTTGAGTTGTCCTGAGCTAGAATTCAACTGAAATTGCAGTTTTTAATATGTGCCTTAGTACAGTACAATGTAATTGAAAGGTGTGATAAAGAGCTCCACCATTTTAACTGTAACTTTTCTTCATTTGTTCCTTTTTAATTTGGTTTATTTAATATGGGAGGGCACATATGTTTTATAGACTGGTCTATAATGGAATGACTGATAAAACATCTGGCTGAGGAAAGCCTCTGTCTGTCACCTTCCCTCCATTTCTGCAGCTATACGGATTAATGCTGATTTATCAGGCAACATAAGCACTGTTCAGCCCATATGCCCATTAAGCCACAGATTCAGCTCTTCCCCACTCATGTACAGTTCTTGGGAATCTCAGAGTGAACAACCAATCCCAAACCTTCCACACCCAGTGCCACACATACTTATCCTATGTTGCTATGAGTTTTTACCCTGCTTTCCTAAGAACCACAGGTAAAACTGATGTGGGCTTTACTGGAGTCATATCAGATTTGGTTTCTATGTCCTGATTTTTGCCCAGCTTCCTGAGGGGATACAGGAATTTCCCTGAGAGGGAAATTACACACTTACAGTAACTCCTCCATATGTTTGCAATAGACAAGAGCTTCCATCAGCCTCACCCCTCCAGCAGAACTAGGAATGTTCCCTGAAAGGCTAAAATAAGCATAAAAGACTCTCAGTGACTGAACAAGAACCAGAATGTACCAACTTAAAGTATTTCACTATTTGCTGGGCATGATAGGAGACTTGGGTCAATCATGGACTAAACAGGGCTGTAGTGGTGTGTCCAGAGACTTAGGTTTCTGGAAGAGCCTGGGGATTTATAGTGTGTCTTTGCCTAGTGCTCAGTCACTCCTGTCCCTGCAGGTACTGGGGGAAGGAGCAGTTTTCCCTCTCCCAGACAGAACTGTGAATTTCCTTTTCTTGTTCAAGTCATTGCCAGTATTTTAGTTGCTAAAGATTATAACGAATAGCCCAGAGCAGAGCCTTAACAAGCAGCCTGGATGTTCTAATTTCCACTCCCCTGGAGGACTGACAATTTGAATCCATGTCTCTGAGAGTGAACCTTGTTTAGAGACTGTCTTCTCACTTGGATAAACTCCCAATTTCACCCCTACTTCCACTAGTAAAAGTAAGCAGTGTAGGAACATGGGGGCCACCACACTGGGAACACAACAGAGCCTGAAGAAACTGCTGTGTGAATATGAGACTTGTACAGTTCCCCACAAGCTTGCAGATTTACTTTCCAGGACACAACAGAGCCAGAGATCTCTGTGCAAACAGCTAGTGAAGGCTGGCAAATGCCCATCACGTCTCCGTGGGTGACTGCTCCAGGACATGGTCATAACCGTCACTCTCAGAGAGCCTCTGCATGGCAGACAAAGTCATTGGCCATCCTAGCTGTACATGGGGAGGGCATGAGAAAGAACACTTTCTGTTGAAGATGCTCCAAGGGCTGGAGCAGGTCTTCTCTGGGGACACACTGAGAGAGCTAAGCTTGTTCAGCCTGGAGAAGAGAAGGGCCCAGGAGACCTTGCAGCAGCTCCAGTCCTTAAAGGGGCTAAAAGAAACCTGGAGAGAGGCTTTGTACAAGGACCTGTAAAGAGAGGACAAGGGGGAATGGCTTTAACCTGACAGAAGGGAGATTGAGATGAGCTCTTGGGCAGAAGTTCTTCCCTGTGAGGGTGCTGAGGCCCTGGCACAGGTTGCCCAGAGAAGCTGTGGCTGCCCCATCCCTGGCAGTGTTCAAGGCCAGGTTGGGCAGGGCTTGGAGCAACCTGGTCTAGTGGAAGGTGTCCCTGCCTGTGGCAGGGTGTTGGAACTGAACAAGCTTTATGGTCCCTTCCAATCCAAACCGGTCTGGGATTCTGTGATTTTGCGTAAGGTCTTCAATTATGCTGAAAGACTGGAAGATGGAACATTGCATAAATGAAGCCAGCACAAGGCTTCCCACACAGGCTTCCCCACTATCTGTGGCCAAAACCGAAACCACTGCAAACAAAACAAAGGGACTCACTTGATTCTCTTCAAGTTTTGCATTTCCAGCAGGACAGAGCTAGAGTTATCCGGTCTGGATCTCCAATCTTGCTGTGGCTTAAACTTTAACGAGAAGAAAGGTTGTGTTCTAAAGGGAAATGCTAACAACCAAGCAGAGTATGAGATCTTATTTAACATGTCCCATCTGCTGGATGACATGCCTGACCTTGGCAGCAGAATCAAAAGAGCTGCTTGTCTCAACTATTTCATCAAAGACTAATAGCTATTAATGAGGCATTAAAAAATTGCAAAGAACAATCAACATCAGCATATCTGTTACAGGGTGCGAAATTACTTCAGCCAGAATACCAAGACAGAGAACAGAGAATTATTATTTTCCAAACTACTGCAGTGGAGAATGGACAGCACCTGGCTAGGGCGGGAGGAGAAACAGCAGAACAAGCTTGGGGCTGGCTCTAGATTCACATCTTTTCAGAGCACGAGAATGTTGGATTTGGTGCTCTCTCAGGAGAGAGTCCTTGGTAATGTTCTGCATCCCAGGAAATCCAGAGAAGATTTAAATCCAGAGTCTGCTTACACTATTTTCTACATGACTGCACCAGAGGGGGGGGTTAGACCAAATTCTCCTCTTCTGAATGTCAAGCTCTGATTTCCTGCGGCACAGGGTACCTCATACATGAGTGTTTTGCAACCTCCCGGCTTTTGTTACAACACTGTGTATAAGCACATCTGGGTCTCTCCAAATGCTGCCACTAGTGGTCACCTCTCTGCTGATGAAGGACCGCAAGAATGGAGAAACTTACTTGATTTCCTCCATGTAGTGCATATTCGTCAAGACTTCCGTGAGTATGCAGCAGCCATCATTACGAATACTGTTGTGGTTCAAGCTGGGAAGAACATTCACAGGAAAATGGGCTGCTACTCAGTACCACAAGCCAGACTAGAGGCAAGCTGCAGTCACATACTTACACGAGGCTCTTCAGAGATGGCGTTTCACAAACCCCCAGCACAAGCTTAGGAACAGCAGCACTGCTGAGTTTCATTTAGCCCAAGCCAAAAGATGGAGTAACACAGGAACAACTAACTACCAACAGGCAGTCATGCAAGCACTCAGAGCAGAGGAGAGCAGGACAAGAGTTGAGGAGAAGTGGGAATGTATCCTAGTTTCTGTGAATAGTTTTCAGTTTTTCTCTCTAATGCAATTATTCTGGACGTGTTTGTATTCTGATGAAACACCAAGAGGATCCCAAACTTCTGGCGCAAGAATGCAGCTCCTCATGGAGCAAGGTGCTGCTGTGACCACAAGATGGCAAAGCTCTAGCGACACCACCACACACGGTCCAGTGACACTTCATAATAGAAGGATGCTTTCCGTGCAGGTGCCTGGAAAAACTTCCTTTGTATGCAGGCTACCAAATCATCCTCCAGGAACGAAATACTGTGTCTGGGATTGCTATAGAGGAAACAAAGCAATCTTGTCCCCAGCTGGGACAAGATCATGCAAAAAACACTACCAATCACTATCTGATTTCTTCACCAGACATTCCCTGCCACAGACTTCTGATCTCTATCCTGCTCACTCATCGTTCTTGCAAATAAAAAGGAATTGTTGCTTCTTCCCTATCTGAAGTCCCCCAGCCACTAGGAAAATGACATCTGTATAGGGTGCAGGCAGAAGAGAGGGTGCAGTTTAACTAAAGCTTCTAGAAAGACCTGGCAGGCACTGGACAGCCTGGAAACAACGCTCACTTGAGTTCTTTAATGGCCTGGCAGTTCTGGAAGCCCAAGATCAAGTAGTCCATTCCAGCTGGCATAATACTGCTAGATGTCAGCCTGCAAAAGAAAAAGGATCAAATACGAAGGTCAGGTCCCAGCACATTGAGAAAGAATTTACTCCACTGACAGGCAAACTGCCCTAACACAGACTCCAGCCTGCACAGACATCAGGAAGCATAGGTTTGGAGAGATTTCCACACCTCCTCTGTACAGGACTACAAGGACTAAGTAGGTAAGACATGTTCACATGATGTATATGTACCAAACAGCATAGTCTCTGCCTCAGCCAAACAACCCCAGCATTTCACTGGGCAGAGATGCCCTTTATAAGCCTGCCTCTTTCTTACAGGCAGTTGAAGAGGGCTGTGAAATGGACTGAGTGGCTGCATGGACACCTCAGAGCAGCTTCCAGTATCTGAAGGGGGCCTACAAGGATGCCAGGCAGGAACTCTTCATCAGGGGCTGTAGTGATAGGACAAAGGGCAATGGGTTCAAACTGAAACAGGGGAAGTTCAGGTTAGATAGAAGGCAGAAGTTCTTCCCTGTGAGGGTGCTGAGGCCCTGGCACAGGCTGCCCAGAGAAGCTGTGGCTGCCCCATCCCTGGCAGCGTTCAAGGCCAGGCTGGACAGGGCTTGGAGCAACCTGGTCTAGTGGAAAGCGTCCCTGCCCATGGCAGGAGCTTGGAACAGGATAAGCTTTAAGGTCTCTTCCAATCCAAACCATTCTGTAATTCATACCAGAAAAAGCTTTTTCGCGCAGTAGGGTGATGTAAACTTGTTTGCAATGCAAAAAAGAGTTACGGTCTCAGTCTCAAATTGTTTTCACTTCAAAAAAGGGGAGAAGAAAAAAAACTCAAGACATACGGAGCCCCTATAACCACCTTTGGTATGAACTGCAGAGATCTGCTGAGTTTGCAACTTAGACATGGCCCAGGAGAGATCACAGAGCTGATGGCCATATTCCTGACAAAAAGTGTTTCCGAGAGGATCAGTGTTGGTTGAGCAAACGATAAAGATGTGGAAGAGAAACCAGCATGGACATTCCCAACTTCTTCAGCTCTGGAAGAGGTAGAAAAATCTTAGCTAGCATTTCTTCTTCATCATAGAATCATAGAATCATAGAATAATTAGGGTTGGAAACAACCTGAAGATCATCTAGTTCCAACCCCCCTGCCGTGGGCAGGGACACCTTACGCTAAATCATATCACCCAAGGCCTCGTCCAACCTGGTCTTGAACACTACCAGGGATGGAGCATTCACAACCCCCCTGGGCAACCTATTCCGGTGCCTCATCACCATAACATGAAAGAATTTCCTTCTTATATCCAATCTAAACTTCCCCTGTTTAAGTTTTAGCCCGCTACCCCTTGTCCTATCACTACAGTCTCTAATGAAAAGTCCCTCTCCAGCACCCTTGTAGGCCCCCTTCAGATACTGGAAGGCTGCTATGAGGTCTCCACGCAGCCTTCTCTTCTCCAGGCTGAACAGCCCCAACTTCCTCAGCCTGTCTTCATACGGGAGGTGCTCCAGTCCCCTGATCATCCTCATGGTCCTCCTCTGGACTTGTTCCAACAGTTCCATGCCCCTTTTATGTTGAGGACACCAGAACTGCACACAATACTCCAGGTGAGGTCTCACAAGAGCAGAGTAGAGGGGCAGGATCACCTCCTTCCACCTGCTGGTCACGCTCCTTTTGATGCAGCCCAGGATACGGTTGGCTTTCTGGGCTGCGAGCTCATTGTGGAGTTCAATATGGGACCATCTGCAAGAACAGAACAACAGATCTGGCCTGTTCACAGAGGATGACAGGCCTGTACTAACCCCACAAATAAAGCACACTGATGTGGGGACACAGCAGAATTGTCACAACATTGATACTTCACAAAGTCCCATGGGTGCTCCCAGCCATGGTAAGAGAGTATAGGTTACCTGGGCACAGGGAAAATATTTGGATGCCTTTAAAGGATACCACAGGAAGCCACTAGTTTTTTTTTTTATTTTCCATCCAAACACTCTACATAGGGAAACCAGAGGGCAGGGACTGGGACCTTGCACTGGCCTGTCCGCTGCCCTGCTGTGTGCTCTCCTTCACACACAAGCACAAGCTACTCCCTTCCCCAAAACATCCTTTCCAGTGCCTGGCAGCTCACCTCAATTCCTGAAGCTGAGCACAGTTTTCACGAACCCTTTGGTGGAAGCCAGCATGCTGGATTTCTGGCTTGCACAGATTCAACTTGCAGGATACACACACACAACTGTCGATGAGCAGCAGACACTCACTGCATTATCTGGTGCCCCTTAGGCCCAGGATTAGGAAGAGTGTAGAGCTTTGCAAGTGCACACTCTCCTGCTATGTCCCATCTACACCACAGTCCAGTGTAGAGAAACACAGCCCTTCCCCAACTGCACAAGAAGGTAGCTGCTGCCTTCTTCAGCTACACAAAGGGAAAAAGACACTAATGCTTTTCTCTTGTCTACACATTCATGCAGAAGCCAGCTTGTCTTAGGAGTCTTCAAAGTGCTCATGTCTCCTGAGTGCTCCTGCTCCTGTAGCAAAGATAGGCAGATTTGTTTACCCTTGTATAGGTCCAGGAAGGGCCTGAAGGAGGGTGGCCCCAAAGACACAGGCACATGAATAAGGTTTCTTCCACATGTGTGGCTGTCGTGGTTTAAACCCAGTCAGGTAATTAGTTCGCTCACTTCCCCCCCCTTTCTTGCCCTCCCCCTGCTCCCGGAGGGACAGAGAGGAGAATCGAAAAGAATGCAACTCCCACGGGTTGAGATAAGAACAGTTTAGTAACTAAGGTATAACACAAATCACTACTGCTACCACCAATGATAATAACGATAAAGGAAATAACAAGGGAAGAGAATACAACACCTCAGCACCAGCCAACCGATAACTCGCCCCCCCTCAGCCCGACCAAGCACCGACCGATACCTCCTCCAACCCTGCAGTCTCCCAGCCCTTCCGGCTAACTCCCAGTTACATCCTGGGCATGACATGCTGTGGTATGGAATACCTCTTTGGTCAGTTTGGGTCAGGTGTCCTGTCTCTGCTTCCTCCTGGCTTCCCCTCCTCCCTGGCAGAGCATGAGGCTCACAAAGTCCTTGGCCAAACCAAAACATTACTATCAGCTCTGTTCCCAGGCCGAAAATCAAAACACTGCACTGCACCAGCTACCAAGAAGGAGAAACATGACTGCTACTGCTGAACCCAGGACAGTGGCACAGAGGCACTCTGAGACTGAGCCCAGAGAGACCAGAGTGTCAGACACTCTGATGATATTTTTCATCCCATGGCAAGTTTCAGAACAAGCAGAAAATATTGATAAATAGTCACTTTCTCACCTGCTAACGTCTGATTCCACCTTCTCCAGGTAGTGTGGGAACCTAACACCTAATTGGAAGAGGTTTTCTCTTTACATATCCTGGAAAGGCAGAGATTGAAATCTTGAGGGAAGGTAAATGCTGTTTCTCCGTAAGAAAAATCATGAGGACTGGATGGGACAGGACTATGCAGGTGCACAAATGCTAACCACCCATCTCTGAAGAGATGTGCTGTGGTTAAACTAGTACTAGAGCCAGCCTAACCTAGGCACCTTTCCTCCAAAGGGTTACCAGGAACACGGTGTCCTTCCCGCTAAACCCCTTGATGTGTGCAACCACAAATCTAAGCACTTCAATCCCATTTCCTGAAAAGTATCAGGCTAAAAGAAAGTATCTGGAAGACACCAGAACTTTAGTTGTTACTTACCTGATCTCAGTAATGTTTCCACAGGTCTGGACAGCCAGGTAAATAAAGTTCATGACAATTTATTTATGTACCCAAGGCTCTTCTATGCTGCAAAGCAGAATACAGGCAGCTGTGCTTTAGTCACATGCATGGATCTATCTCTGCCTCTGTCAGCTGACTGCTCAGTACTCTGTTACACAATGAGTAACAGAACCCTGAGCTTTGTTCATCTGAGTAATGACTACATAGGAAACAGGATGCAAACTGGGAACAGAGAAGCAGCTGAGCTTCCCTGCAGAGGAGGACACAAACACCAAGTTCCCTCCTGCCTGCACACCTCTGACAGCAATGAGAAGTCTGGCTCTTGTGTTCTAATGCAACACATTTTGGGAGAAGTGAAGAATCTGTTACCCAGGTGAACTGTGGGATGCTCTGGTGAGGACACAGTAGGAATGGGTTCACCAGAATTAGCAAGTTTCTTTGTGAGGCAGGTAGGCCTCACAAAGACAGCACAGTTTATGGCTACAGCTTTACATGATGCTTAGTAGGAATGAAGAAGATAAAGCCAAAATACCAATAACTTAGAGTCACCCCTGGGGTTTTCTCAGGCCAATGCTACCTGTCTTTGGAAGAAGCACATTTCACTTTTGGTTTTGATGAAAGAAGATCTTAGATGACCAGATGCCTCATATCAGTGTCTAAAACAGCACAGCGACATAGTACCTGATTTACAGAGGACCCAGATTTTTTCTCAGTGAATGCAGAAGTCTTTCTGCAGCCTGGACAGTCACATTGTTATATAAGGATCTAGAAACAAAGGTCATTGTAATGAGCAGCTTACAAAGGAGCCCACCCAAATGGGTTCAAGCAGTCATTAACTCACATGTATTCTGTCAGACCAGTGCGTTTTTCCAGGAACAAGCACAACTTTTCCAAGTGTTCTGGTTGAAATTTGCACTCTGTGAGTCTGAAACAGTATGAAAGTAAATAGTCTGAGTTCCTTAAAACAGTTCAGACTTTCTGACTCAGAAATCTCAGGCATTACAACATTTCCCCACAGAGAACAAAATACCTTGCAGGACTTCCAAAAAAGATTGTGGCAGCATTGCAAAAGCATCTTGTCAAGATGTTCTAATACAACATATATGTAAGCTAATGGTGCAACTTCTTGTAGCATCCTGTCATGTGTAGGCACACCTACAGATTCCTAAGTGAGAGTCAGTAGGGAAGCAGTAAGAGAAAAGGATGTGGGATTCTCTGTGATGTAAAACATCACTGCAATAGGAGCTAAGGGCTACAAGAGGTTTTGTCTGCCTTGTCCCTAGAAAAAGGATATCACTTTTGTTAAAGAAATCACACCAAAAAATCTGTACCATTACCTCAAAATCCTTCTCGGGTCATCTCTGCTTGTCAACTTGATGGTAAAGTTGCTTTGGAGCATAAACTGCACAGAGAAGACAAGTGAGGGTAAATTAAGAGGGAAAATGATTATTTTCCCAATGGTCAGAATTTAACAATACATCAAACTGCCCAAAGCAATACAGTGACAGGGCACCTGGCCTGACTCACCTCTCCGTACAATAAACCAGCCCAGGAAAATGAGGTTTTGCTAATGCTAAATTGGTGTAAGGCAGCACTAGCGGTTGGAGAAGCAATCCTGTTCTGCCCTGCTTTTGTCTGCCTCCTCCTGTCCTTGCACTCTCTACCACATGCTGGGAAGAGCTAAACCAGGAGAATGATCTGCTTTAAAACATCCCAGCCAGAAGATTTAGCACCCACATTTACCTGCAGGGATGAATGGAAGTGTTTAAATTCCATTCACAACAATCCAACTGATCTACATGAACATAAACACTGCTAAGATCAGTTCCGCAGCATAGCCCAGCCTTGTGAACTGAATCCATGAGAAAGAGCAGTTCCTGCCAGTGCAAAAAGTCCAGAACCCAGGGGGTATTTTTGCCAGGGAGGAAAGGAGATAAAGACACAAATCCAAGTAAAGAACATTTGACATTGCCTTCAACAGACTCACTTGTGAAATCTCACATATTGAAGAAAATTAGGGATGACGGTTTTAGAGAGCAAACCCTGAGGATGTTCATTTACAGATACGTGCCAACAACTAGTACAGCTGAATACCTGTGCCCTTCTACACAGAGATGACCTGCCCCTGTGGAATTGATGCGGAGGGCTGACCAATGTACAGGGGGGTTGTACAAGGGGGGATAAAGGAATCTTGCCTGTTTAACAGAAAGCATTATTTGCAAATACCTGTCAAGCTTGCCATGCAGTACCAGGGCAATAGGCTATTGATAAGGGGGAGAAACAGTCTGATAAGGGGAAGAAACAGACTGATAAGGAGGAGGAACAGTCACTTAGTTCCAGTGAAGATCAGCTTCATGGTTTGGACTTTGACCAGACTCCTAAAGAGCCTGCATGACTGCTAGAGGTGAAAAGTTCAGACTTGAGGAAGACTCATTTACTTCATCTTGAGACCCTCGCCCATGACCAGAGGGGGCACTGCGCAGGCACAAAGGACCTTCTAGCTCATTATAATACGAAGTAGGGATAGGACATGAATATGTATAGGCGTATCGTGCAACCTCATGCATATATATAACTTTAGAGAATAAACGTAGAGGGAAACAACACTGAGGCACTCATGCTTTTGTAGGAGCTATCCCCCATGCGGCTCAGCTCTGAATAAAAGCATACCTAGTTTACAACTTTAACGAGTTGAGGAGTCTATCTGCATATCACAGATGGGCTGGGAAACCCCAGACAGTGCTGAGCCATACCAGCCCAGCTCTCCCTCAGTGATTCCTGTTCAAGGCAATGGTAGCAACCCAAGCCACACTTACCCCACTTCTGCCAGCCTGCCATGCTGCTCCAGGACCCTGCAGAGCTCATCTGTCTGCCCTTGACCAATGGCACAGTCCATCAGCCTGAGTATGACACAGTAAAATTGTTAAAGCACAGCTGGCAACCACAGTCAGCCTGAGCCATGAGAGCTACCCATCAGCAGCTGCATTTTTACACCAGACTCTGTGCAACATCCACTGAGATGAATGCCCTTAAGTGTGCCAGTGTTTGATACTTCTCACAATGCCTCTCTGAGGTTGGTAATGAAAAACCACAAGTGGGGAACACATCTTTCCACAGTTTTTGCCATCTCCATGGTACCTAACTGGAGACATGTTCAGTCTTCTATGGAGGCACACAGCAAGCGTTCCTCCCAGAGATGCTACAGACATGTATCACATACGCATCACACTGATGCTCACATGAAGATTATCACCCAGAATTTGAGGCACACATTTAGAAAATGTGGTGGTTATGGTTCAGTTCAGTTGTTTGTGAAGCAAATTCTGGTGCAACTCAAGGTAATCATAGAATCCCAGACTGGTTTGCATTGGAAGGGGCCTTAAAGATCATTCAGTTCCACACCCTGCCACAGGCAGGGACACCTTCCACTAGAGCAGGTTGATCCAAGCCCTGTCTAACCTGGCCTTGAACACTTCCAGGGATGGGGCAGCCACAGCTTCTCTGGGCAACCTGTGCCAGGGCCTCACCACCCTCACAGTAGGTAACTTCCTAATATCATGAGCAGTCCTGTAGCCACTTAAGAAAAGCACAGGCTTCTGCCACCCCAATATACCCAAATGGTACTCAGTTGCACTTAGGCAGCTGAGTTGAGCCACAAAGCTTGAGCTACTAGCCCAAGCTCCTTGATCACCAGCCCATGAGTTCTTCATACAATAGGATATTTGTCTACCTGCACCACTCAAACCAAGGGAATTATAATTAAGTGTTGTATGTCAGTACCTGCAGGATGTCTTTTGGCTTCGCATGGTTGCTTCTAGATGCAATAAAGTATTTTCACTTGACCTGAAGCAAACACAGAAGACAGTCCTTCAGCTATGCTCCTCAAAGATGTCAAGCTCTGAAGGTGAGCTGCTGGGCTCATCTTACTGGATTTCTATCATTCTGATCCTCTCACACAGGTTGATGGAGTTGATAAGCAGGACAGTGCAACACAGTGAAAATTATTCCTAATACTGAAAAAGGAGGGGCAAGAAAGAAGGATTAAATCATCTCCCAAGAAGAAAGGTTTCAATATACACAGCCCAATTTTCCCACTGTTTACTTGAAACAAAAGGCTGGATTCACCACATTTAACTCAAGATCAGTATCTAAAGTTTTGAGTACTGGCACTCAGCGTTCCTTTAACTAAAAGAGAGTCTCATTTAGTCTCCTTTCACTAAAAAGTGAGTACAGACCAAAGGTTTACACTGAGCTCCTCTTCAGAGCTACTGACATAGAGATGCTCCAGACTGGAAGAAACCTGAGTGAGCAAATTCAGTTTGTTAACACCTGCAGTTCCCCCATGCTACAATATCTTGTGAAAGATGACGAAGCTTGTTATGGGCTTTTTCTCAATGTGGTGGGAGTGCCTTAGCCCCTCCTGACAGCACCTCTCTAGCCTAAATTCCCAAACTAAATGGCTGATATGCTTCCAGGAAACATTTTGGTACCAAGTGTGGCAGGATGCCAGATCCATGCAGGGACAGAGCTGTGAGATACAGACCACACATGTGTGTGCACAGGTGTGTGTCACCATGTTCAATCAACAAGTCCTACATGTGCTATGGCTGCTGGAATTCATGTTGCATGGGACCTGCTAAGTGAGGATTATCTGGGACACTGTGCTTAAGGTGGGTATTTCTCCTCCTGTCCTTTATCCCCCTCTATGTATCATTAAAGAAAAAAGGTTCAGTGCTGCTTCGGTTCTAGAAACAAGACACGAACAGGTGTGAAGGAGTTTCTGCATTTTCCTTGCCTAGCCTGTTAATCTAAAATTACAAATTAATGCTCCTAAAATATGCTGTAGTATTAGCACCTTCCAAACCAATGTTTCCTGGCAGCAATCAGAACAGGGACCCCAAACATTACCTCAGTATTTTCAGATGACAGAGGTATGGCAGGAAGCTCAGTAATCTCTCAATGCTCTGGTCACATGATGAATTTCCAGACACTGTAAAACATGGAAGGAAACAAATTCTAAGAGAAACTGGGACAATCTGTAAGTATTTTTATAAACTATAAATAGACGTGCACACACATGTGCATAAGCAAATTCTGAAAAAGGACATGTCCAGAAATGCCCTAAAAGTTGCACAAGATTTAGTCCCACCAGGCTGATCTCTGTGTTTTTCTACATCCTACAGCCAATTAACACTCCAGTTTTAAAACTCTTACCTTTTCATTACTGTAAATTTATAAACTGATGCTACTGACATATTTAGTGCATGAAATATGGGTATTATGATGGTTTTATTTGTTATTACTCCCGGAGTGCCCAGCCCTTCAGGAGTTAATCTCATGGTTTAGTGGGCCAGGTGCTCTTGCTGCAGCTATACTACAAGCCAGGGTCTTGAGGTGACACTACTTGTGTCTAGCCACATGACTGAGGAAGGCTATGAAATGAATGTCTTCTGAGATGTTTACACACTGACATGATAGACTTAGGAGAGCGCATGTTCGAAACAGAGAGGACAGTAGAAATGTGGGTTTATTTAAGCACCTGGGTGAAGCTTTGCAGGGATTTCTAGAAGGCCGTGGCTAGGAGAGCCAATTTACACTGGCTGCTAACCCGAACACTGACTGTATCTGCAGGATGGGAAGACCGATAGACAAACAGGATTGCCAAGTGCACAACACTTACTCAATTTGTGTCAGCTGGGGACATTGAGCCAGTGTCTGGCACAGCCTGGTCACATCCTCTGGACCCAATCTGCAGTCCCTGAGACTGAAGCAAACAAAGCACTCAGGAGCTAAACATTCCCCATGACCACAGTACGACAACAGCCCCATAGCCTCACATCCTAGGACAAGACTTACAGCAACTCTCCTGCTTCCACTACCTGTGTTTTGCTACCCACAGTCTAGGACTGAGAAGTCAAAACCCATGACAACCAGATGATTTCACCAGCTCTGAGCTGATTCAAGAAATCCAGTCCACCAAAATAGCATGTCACTTTGGGTGTTGCCTCCCTAGAGCCACATCATTGGTGCTTAAGTTGTTTGAGGAAACTGGACAATTCTTTCACTGCTCAGCACTGTCTTGGCTCCCTCAGAGAAAGGCTGGGAATCATGCCTCCTATGTCCTTCTCCAAGAACGAAATCTCAGAAACCTTCCTGGGTGACAAACTGGGAGGTCTCCATGGGACAAATGTAGTAGCCAGCCAGATCTGTATCGCATTTTGTATGGGTAGGAGTTTCCTCTGCAGGAAAGCAAGGCCAACCCCTCAAACCCAGTCAAGCAAAACATGTCCTATTGTTTTCTCATCTATGCATGTAGCAGTGGAGATCCCAAGTCTGTCCCAAGAAAGTCAGACTTGGGACTTGGTCCTTCTTCACCCAGCCACCTCTGGCATATCATTGTGTCCCTCCACTGACCCCAAAGCACAAATATCTGTTGGCCTGGGTTGATGTCAGTTGGCCCAATCTCTTTAAAGCTTTGCCAAATTACACCAGCCAAGACGCCTTCCCTTGTAAACAAGTATTACTCTGGGGACTGGCCTCCCTGAGCAGTTTCAGCAGGTGGAAGAGAGATATACTAAAGATGTACTTTTTCCAGTGGTGTCTCATGGGGCATCAGTCATGATGGGATAAAAACACAGGAAAGCCCCCCCAAGGCAGGCAGGGCAGAAGACAGCTCTCTGAGGAGACAGCTGGAGGAATGGGTCTGCTTCACACACTACAGATACAGGCTCCCCTAGCCACCTCTCCCTACACTCCTTGGTGACAAAAGGAGTGTTTTGGGGGCTGGCCATTCCAAAAGCACTGTCCTTCTTCTTCATGCTTGGATGTATGAGGAAATCAGTTCTCCATCTGCTGGTACTTGTGACCCTGAGGAAAGAATGGTTTATTCCCTGAGTTATGCTGATGTTATTGCCCCCATGGAGCTGACTCCCCAAACTGCAGCTGGGGAAGAGGGTGAGGTGTTGGCAGTGGCCTCACACTCATCTGCCTTTTCCCACCACCTGCCAGAATTAAGCTCACATCATCACAAGGGCCTTATCATCCCTTTTCCAGTCTCCAGAGCACTCTGCATCCACTCAGCTCCTTGGGCATTTGCTCTGCCCTGGCCCAGGAGGGAGATGGCAGCATCCCTGATTAGCAGTCGGATACCTCTGTCTGCTCCATACTCTCAAGCTGTTCAGCCATGAAACAGCTCACCCTTCTTCCAGCACCCTGACTGGAACTTGGAGAAAAATGACTCTGTAATTGTCACACCTTGGGGACTCACATTATAATCTATTTAAGATTTCATTAGGAGTTCAAAAGGATTAGGGAGAGTGGGAATAATTTTACCTGGTTCTGTCCCAGAAGGCTACGTGAACCACCTGGCTGTGTTATAAGCTGTAATCAGAAAAGAACATAACTAGGATAGAGTTTGAAGACATGTTCCTCCATCACTCCTCAAATGCCACAGCTTGAGGCTTTAAATAGAAAAAAATAGGAAAAGTACTCCTGGTCATACCTGAGGTCCATTATTATAATGTCTTCCAATGTAGATAAAGACTGAGCTAAGAAAAACACAGAGTTCAGGGAGATGTGGTTGCCATTAAGTCTCAGGAAGAGCAGATGAAATCAGCTGCTGCAAGCAAAGCTATCAGGAACTTACACCGCATCACCCAGGCCCTTCCCAAATGTGCTGCCACAACCAATACCCCCACAAAACTCATCCATGAGTAAGGAGAAACAGGAGCTACTCACTTGAGAGAACTTAACCTTTTCAAATTCTGGAGGAACTGAAACAGCTGCAGCAGTCCCTCAGATAATTATTTGATAGGCTAGGATTTAAAGAAAGACATTTAATTTTCATAGAAAACAAGAATAGGAATAATCAGCTCTCAATAACAGGAGCTCTGGAAACAGCACAGGCACCCTAATCAAACCAACATATGCATTGCCCTTTTCCACTACAAGTAAAGCCTACAGGAAAAGCAAAGACCAGAAATAAGCAACACAGGACAGCCAAAAATCCAGCTCAGGGCTCATTCTTTTCTCATGTCCACCAAGTGACCCCTCTGGACTGAGGGGTCCTTTTTAATGCAGTTACCAGGGACCAGAAGTCCCCAGCTCTGAGAAGCGACTGATGTAGACAGAGGAGCCCTGGGTTACTCCTGGAGAAGGCTACTATGCTATGATAATAGAGCCTAAGGATTACAACAGGCTACAGCCCATGTAAGATCAAGGGACACAATTGCTTAAAAAGAGCAAAGGCTAAAAATCTGTTCCACAGGCTGCCAGGCCTAAGGGAATAGCCAGCTCTCAGATGGTGGTGCACAGAATACACGCTTGGGATGGTCCCTCTTCTGGCCTCAAAATATAGATGTAGGGTGTGTGCTGGCTAGCCCTTCCATCAGGGCTGCATCTGCCCATCTCTTGGTGTTAGCACAGCACAAACAGAAAAAAGTACTTTGGTGCTGAAGATCCCTGCACACCATACATGGGATCACCAGCAAAAACACAGATTCCCACCCTTGGTTTGGGGGGGATTCCTCAGTTTCTGCAGCTTTGCCCTCAAATGGCCCAAAGGCAAAAATGACACAACAGTGTTTCCCAGCTTTTGCAATACCTGAAGTCAGGCTAAGTGATCAGGCAGCCCCTTTCTAAATTTATGTCCTGCAACCTTTGCCCTAAAAGAGCATTAGAACTGTATGTCTCCTTGGCAAAGGATATTAGCCCAGATAAATCTATGCCCTTCATGAGGTTACATCTCTACCACATCTCCATACAGCACTGCAGAACAAACAAGTGGCATTTTCTCAGTATCCCAAAGAACTGCAGATAAGGACCATAACAGTTAAGAAGAACTCACTCCAGCTCAGAGATGCTGCTACATTCCTTCAGGACTGCGCACAGCTTCTCCAGGTCACTGGCTTGAAAATGACTGTCTGTCAGTATAGGAGGAAAGAAATCAACAGTCCAGGTCTGCAGGATTGCAAACAAGATTGTAAACTTCACTCCTTCAGATAACCAGAGAATAAAGGAGGAGACAGCAAAATAAAGAATCCCCTTGAAAAGGCAACATCAGCAGCTCTGTCACCACCAGCTCCCGCCAGCTCCCATGGGAGCTGATCTGGTAACTGCACAGTCACCATGCCAGTTCTGAGACAAGACATACATCCCACAGTCTATTTTAATGCCTGTGGACAACCACAGATGCTAGCCGCAGAGCTTCTAGTGTTAGAAGGTGGAAATAGGAACACAGTGACAAATGACTGACTGAATGGGCCTTTACCAGCTCTCTTGTGCTTCACCATTCGAATCTGGAGATGCAGGCTGTGTCAGCTATAGGATCCAGAGACAAGACATGCATGAAGTATAAGGAAAATCTGCCATGGTACCTTATTTTTCGTGGGGTTGTAGGAGTCTGGTTTTCTTCTCCGTGTTGTTGGTCACCAATAAAGCACACAGTCTCTTCCTTAAGTGAGCATAAATCCAGACAAGAGTAAAAACTTTAAACACTTCAGCAATTTGGCAATCCCTAGGGCTGCCCTTGGCTCCAGCCCACATCCGTATCTTGCCAATAGCAAGTTCCTCTTTCTTTCAGTGATTAGGCAAATAGCTGAGCATGCAGGCAACTGGGGAGAAGGTGAAAAAAATAGATTACTCATCTAAGATACAATTTGGAGAATTCAGGAGAATTCAACTTTTGCCTAAGCCTGTTTTATGAAAAGAGTCCATTCCTGAACCAAAGCTTGACTATTCACAAATAAATGGAACATCCAAATCCTGAAATATCTCAGTTTGAAATGTCACCTGGTACCTTAAAGGAGGCACAGATCATGTGTGTCAGACAGTCACTCTCTTTCAAGCACAGCCACAACAACTGGGTTGCATCCCACAATAGCCCTGCTCGTCCTTTCTGGCTAAGAGGTGAGCTGTGTGCTGTAAGAAATGTTATTTTACAGTGGGCTCAGTACATGGAGAACAAGGACATAAATAAGTGAATCTATGGCTCCAGGAGAAACAGGAAACCATTTGTCAATCAAAACATTTGGGTTGAGCTGTTTTGACAGTAATTTTCTGAGGGGGGAAAATAAAACTCCAAATTTACTTTGATTTAGGAGTACCATGATCCAGAATGCAGAGTGTAGTGAACTAGAGGGTTTCAAGAGTGCAGGGATCAGTGAATATTTTTGCAATTTGGTCTGGAGGTGTGACGTTCACTTGGGTTTTTGCTCTTCACTATTATCAGAGAGCACAATTTAGGATGCTGTGGGTTGAAATGTCCCCCAGAGACATGAAACATTAACACTACAGAAGGCAGAGACAAATTTCAAAGTGGCTAAGGAAACCAGGAGAAAGTACTAATTTTAGATTCAGATGGAGGGGGAGAAAGAACCACTGTGAGATAGTGTTAACCTTGGTACCTAAATGGGATGTAAGAACTGAGATGCTGAGAAAACACCATTTGTGCACACACACTCTTACCTAGGAGGAAGGGGAGAAAACTCTCTGTCTCCTGTAAACCTCAGGACTGCAGCCTCATGACAAAGGCTTTGAAGAAGAGAATAGATCAATGTCACATTTTAGTTACTTACTGGAATTCTTGTTGGTTTGTTAGGTTTTTGTTGTTTTTTTTTTTTCTCTGCAATAACTTAAAATACTCCTTAAGCAATCAAAAAATCTCCTTTAGTTTTAAGTGCTGGTTGGATCACACTATGCAATATCAGATGCCCCACTTTCTCTGAACCATTAGAGAAAGTGCAGACAAAATGGTTACACTTGAACTCCTGAAGATTTCAAAGGGAAAGTCATAAGAGAACTTAAAGCTCCACTCCAGGAGATGTCACTGGTTCCAGTATCCTACAGAGATCCTCTCTCCAGAACTTCCCAGGGCGGAGAAAAGAAGAGTCTGTAACTGCCCACCACGCGTGAAAGGACACATAGTTCTGTAGCTTCTCAAATGCTGGTTAATGGCTCAGATAAAATCAGCTCACAGCAGTATATTACTAAGTGCCTGTGTTAGTAATCATCTCTGGACATGTTCCTCACCTACCCCACTTTTGGGGTAACTAAACAAAAACCTCAGAACATAACTCTCAGACTTGTATATTGGGATTAACCCCAGAAATGAGTCAAGACTTACATACCTGAGTTGTGCATCCATCATCTTCTGGCAGGTACTTACTGACTTCAATAGACTGAAAATGCCATTAACAGAGAGGCGGGTTTGACTGAGACTAAGAAAGACAAACTAGACAATTGGGCTGCCTGTAGCACCTCTTCTCTGGAGACAGGCTGAGAAAGCTGGGCTTGTTCAGCCTGGAGAAGAGAAGGCTCCTTAAGGGGAGGCCTTAGAGCAGCTCCAGTGCCTAAAGGGGGCACAAGAAAACTGGAGAGGGGCTTTTGACAAGGGCCTGTAGGGACAGGACAAGGGGGAATGGCTTTAACCTGACAGAGGGGAGACTGAGATGAGCTCTTAGGCAGAAGTTCTTCCCTGTGAGGGTGCTGAGGCCCTGGCACAGGCTGCCCAGAGAAGCTGTGGCTGCCCCATCCCTGGCAGTGTTCAAGGCCAGGTTGGATGGGGCTTGAAGCAACCTGGTCTAGTGGAAGGTGTCCCTGCCCATGGCAGGGGTTGAAACTGGATGAGCTTTATGGTCCCTTCCAACCCTTCCAACCAGTCTGGAATTCCACAATTCTATGGACACACAGGACTGTCCTAGTGGAAGTAATCAGTGGTGTGCTGCATTCTTGAGCCCATTTCATATCAGAAGTGGCATGGTGGAAAACATACATGACTGCTATTCCTGAGGAAATAGTTTCACAAATGGACACTTCAGACACATTTAGATCAGTTTCTGAGCATGATACTCTGAGCAAGTGATCAACTTCACAAACAGCCCCAAACAGTCTTACTGTCTGAGTCTCACCTTTCCTTCGTAGTGCTCAGAGCTGCTACAGTGGTAGTCTGGGTGAGGCCTTTGCCTCCTGGATTCTTCCTCAGCATCCCTGGTCCTTGCCAGGCACAAGAAAAGAGGGCAATTTGGTTTGTACAAGGGTATACTTACTTCAGCTGCTTTGAAATTGATATCCAAGGCAGGCTTTCCAGCAGACAACTACAGCCTTCATCTCCAAGCTTGCTACCTGACAAACTGAGGCATTTTCTAGTTAGTGTGGGCTATTTTGAACAGTATAAAACAACAAAACCCTCAAAATCTGCTTGCTTTCCCTTTCCTGGACTGTTTTTTGCTTTTTTTTTTTGCCTGGACTGCTCTTCTGTCCCAGGTCAATCTTCCCTGCCTATGACTGCCTATGAAGCAACTTCACACAAGGACAACATGATTCATTCTTTAGCCCCAAAACCATCTTACTTTAGAAAATCTAAGTGGGAGTAGAAAACAAGAAACCAAATGAGTGTTTATTGTCCTTCTGGAAAAAAAAGGAAGGCAAAAAAACCACTGGGTGACAAAGATCTCCAGATCCAATTCAAACCAGTGAGCTAGAGAACCTGAATTTGAGGTGTAGCTAAATTCAAGATACAAGCTAGACTGAACTGCCTTGCAACAGCTATTCCTGCATGTTCCAGGGCAGACAGGCTAGAAGGAGAGCTTTACAGCTGAAATCAGATGGCTTCATACTGAGGCAACTAAGGAAATGTAGGGATAACTCTTGTCGTAGTGTTCAGGTTGTGAAATGGGTCTCTTGCATTCTCCCAGCAGGGCTGGATGGCTTTTGGAGGTTCATGACTCCCCTCTGCAGTCGTGCATCCAGCTCTAGGGCAACAACACACGAGGGTCATGGAGCTGTTGGAGTGAGTCCAGAGGAGGCTGCGGAGATGCTGTGAGGGCTGGAGCAGCTCTGCTCTGGAGACAGGCTGAGAGAGCTGGGCTGGTTCAAGATGGGGAAGAGAAGGCTCTGGGAGACCTTAGAGCAGCTCCAGTGCCTAAAGGGGATACAAGAAACCTGGAAAGGGGCTTTGGACAAGGACCTGTGGGACAGGACAAGGGGGAATGGCTTTAACCTGACAGAAGGGAGACTGATATGAGCTCTTGGGCAGAAGTTCTTCCCTGTGAGGGTGCTGAGGCCCTGGCACAGGTTGCCCAGAGAAGCTGTGGCTGCCCCATCTGTGGCAGTCTTCAAACCAGGCTGAACAGGGCTTGAAGCAACCTGGTCTAGTGGAAGGTGTCCCTGCCTGTGGCAGGGGGTTGGAGCTGGATGAGTTTTAAGGTCCCTTCCAACCCAAACCATTTTGATTCTATGAAATGGGACAACATATAAGCCATCTGTGTCCCTTCACTGGCTCAGAGGATTTGCTGGAGGAGCCATTCCTCTGGGATGGCTCCAGGGTGCCTCCAGCAAGCAGCACGTCTTCCTTAGCAAGTTATGCTTTGTAACCAACTGTAGTTGTCACAGGAATCAAAGGTTGCTCAGCATTCACCCACCCCCCCCCACACACACACACCCTTCCCACCCCGAACCTCACCAAAATCACTAACCAGGATCTCACTAGACATAACAGAATGCTGAGACCCTTCCTCAGGTTCAGGCTCCATGTCTCGTCTCACTGTTCTCTACATGTAACATCTCCTGCTTCCTGCCACCCACCTGCAGCCTCTCAACAGTAAGGAAAAGAGACACTTACTGCACTTCAGAGAGACAGGAACAGCTCTGGAGCATGGCAACAATCTCCTTTGCATGTTGGGAAGATAGGCTGCAGTACTGCAAGCTGTGAACAGGAAGTTTTAATGAGCAAGCAGTGAGGGGACAGCGGGACTCATGCACTTCTGGTGTCTCTCTCCAAGTGAGGGCATACAGAAACAGTACCAAGAGAGATTTTTTACTCTGTTGTCACAGCCCTGGGCATATCATTCTGTCCCTCTGTAGCCTCTCTGCAAAAGGAGTTCAGAGGGACACTCTTGCAGAGAGCTGTGCCTTGTGAGAGCTGCCTGTCACCACCATCCACGAGAAGGGGATGGATAGAATTGCTCCTGTTGTGTACAGAGTAGTGACAGAAAGAGGAGGGAGGGGAGGGCCATTTCCCAACATTGTCATGCTCAGATAACATGCCTGAGGTCTATTTTGAGAAAACCATTACTCTCTATTCTATGATTCTTCTAGAGCCCAAGCAAGAAGGAAAACTATTATGCCTTTGAACATATGGCAAGATGGACACTACCAAGGGAACTCTGCCTCTCTAGAGTTGCTCTCTAGAGCCTAACACACAAGAAATAAAGCTACTGGCTGCCCAAATAGCAATTTCTATTGTTATTTTTATTTACTGATTCAGGTTTATTTAAAATATTTTTGTATGTGGAAGCATATTCTGTCCTTAAGGAGCAACACAGGCACTACCTTTGTCCTTCTGTAGTAGCTGTCATCTGCAAATGACATTCACCAGCAGGGATTTCAATGTCTTCTCTTACCATAACTTCATTTGTTTAGTTGGAATTACGTGTTCCTTATTCTCTTCCCACCTCAAATCCAAAGATCTGAAAACAAGCAAAATATCTGGCTTTTAATATGCCTTCACAAAACACGTGATTTGAATGCTGGTTAGTATTTTCTGGAAGAAACCACTAAGTCTGTGTTCTGTGCAACCATTCCATGCAAACTTAAGTGATTTTCAAGAGCAAGAAGAGCCCCATCAGGAGATCAGAGCACAGGGATTTCACTGTATATTTGAATCAACATGGTAACTGAGCCCCAGTTCAAAGGCACTACCAAGATGCAGGATGTTCTGCCTCCATGTGGGACTGTGCCATCACACAAAGGGATAAACAAGTCCATGTGTGCCAGGCTGCCCACAGCATCTGAATAGGATATTCAGGCATCTGAATCGTAGTTTCTACAGGGCAGGCTTGTAGAATACTGGGAGGTCTCTCAAGGACTGCATGACAGGGTAAATTGAGCTCCCTAGCAAGGAACAAGTGATTGTTTTGTAGTTTCTAAATTAAGATCAAATCCAGCCTCCCCTCTAAAGTACATACAGGCAGGGAGAACACAGGAGCCAGCCAGAGAAGGAGCAGTCTTTTCCTTCATTTAGCCTCACACTAAATTGTTTTTCAGCAGTTTTGCAGCAGAAAATCAGCACATCAACCTTACTCAGGCACTAAGGTGAGCCTTTGTGGAACTGACTGGTAGGTCTGCGTAAAGACCAGCTATTTTGCTTACGTTTATGCTTGCTCAGGTGGATTGAGCTCTGCCAGATACAAGGGTAGAGACAACCAGTTCTGTGACTGGAGTGGTTTATGGTGATGCCAAGCTGATTGTCTGAATCAGCCTAACGTTGTATACAGCACAACACCAAGTACAGTTTCTCACCTTGGAACTTTCCCAGATGGGCCAGAAAAATACATAATCACAGTGTCCTTCCTGAAAAAAATCCAAGCGAATGTTAGGGCAGAGGTGGAAAGATGCCATCTCTTTCACAGAGGTGCTTATAAGAAGGACCCAAGCTGTTGCCTGGAGGCTAAAGAGGGCCTTGGCGCGTTCCACACCAGCACATTGCCACAGGCGAGCCACAAACCAGGCATGTGGCTACAGGGCAGCAGGACACCCCTCATGCTGGGGCTGTGGTACACACACCACAGTAACACAGGTAAGAAGACTGAGTTGGGGGGGTTTAATATTTTTTGCAAGACCAGCAGTTTGTTGGAAAGAGGATCAGTAGAAGCTCCATTCCAGCAAGAAAAATATGAAAAAGCTGCATGCAATTCAGCTTCCATGAAGTCACAGCAAGGATTCATTTGGGCTGTTAAACTTACAACATATGACAAACATAAGAGCTAGGATTTAAAAATTCCATCTTTTCTTGGTCATTCTGGACCCATGAAAACACCAAAACCTGTAATTTAAAGGAATACAGACATAAAGCTACTTAAATCCACACCTTTTCAGTAAACTTAGCTGATTTGTAGCAAATTCATGCTAGCTGGTAAAGAAGTTGATGTATCCAGAGCTTAAAAGCAAGTTTAAATTCTATTATATATGAAGTATTACAGCCTGCTAAACAATTTCTAGACCAAGGATAAAACAATCTGTTAAAAAAATGCAAAGAGTAAGTACATAATGTGATGAGTTCAAATTTTGTTTCAAACAGAAAACAGAAAGGATTAAAATTAATTTTTGTTGACTTGATTAGCCAACAATTAAGCTGTAAAGCAGTATCCATTTAAAAGGCAGCACCTAAAGGGACAACATACAGCATGTACCTGACAAGCATCTCAGTAGCGTTCTGACAAGTGATGACTTCCTTTGCCAAAGTGAGAACAGCAGCCAAGGAAAAGTTGTTGTTGCTCAGACTGTGAACATGAGGAAGAAGACAACCTCACCTGCTGGACCCAACATACCTCTTGCTGTAAAATAAATCCCATTTAAGTATGGCATGTTACAGTAGTGTGGTCTAAAGCCCATTATAACACCCTGAAGACACAATACTAGCAACCTCTGAGAAGATACTCTTTAATTGCATGTTTATTCTGTTTCAGTACTTGTTGGACCTCATTAAATATGAACCGTGAGGTCTTGCTTCTCTTTCTGGGATGCTTTTAAACACTTCTAATCATACTGCAAAGCCATTAATTAACTCTTGCATGGGATCCAGCAGTAATTGCAGGTATTTTTGATTCACCTGCTTGCACCTGGGGGTATGTGGAAGACCTTTAAAGAGGCACTCCCTTTTAACTGGGGTAGGAAGGCAGTACTGTGGCTTTGACTTAGAGCATGCCTCTTATTGCTGAAAATCCAAGGGAACAGTGTCTTTTCTGTCTCTTCCTTTGAACTGTAGCTAAAATCCACGTGGAAATGGGATGTTGTCAGTGGTTTTGTCCACAGACTGATTTATCTAATACTGTTTCTGGTTACAGTATCAATAGTTGGACTTGTTGACCTGAAAGATCGTTTCTAACCTAAAAGTTCCTATGATACTATGTAGGGTCAGCACAGCTTTGTGACTATCCTTCTCCTGTAATGCAAACTACACTGTGACTCCAACACTTGCAGAGCCTCTGCTCTGCTTTGTCTGCTTCTGCTTAAACTGCTCCTGCTAGCTTTCCAAAAGCTTTAAATCCCTTTAAATCACAAGTCAGGCTGGTTCTCTCCGCCTAAAAAGATGCAGATCCCTGCTGGCAGCTCTCTTAGCAGTCAGTCCCTCTCATTCAGCACTTTGCTGTTAGTGTTACAAGGAGTACACAATAGGGCTAAGAAAAAGTCTGTACAGACAGGAATGGAGCCATCCTCTCTGATGCAGAGGTGAGGTTATCTCAATCATAGCCTAACCAAGCAGATGAGAGGTGAGGCAGTAGAAGAGGAAAACGTCATGCCAGGCACGAAATTGAGCACAGGTAATTTCTGGAGTGGTGTCAGCAGTGCCACAGCTCCCTTGAGACTGTTTTTAAATGCCTGGGTAAAAACTGTGAGGCTGAGTCTATCTCAGACTGAGACAGGCATCATGCGCAGCTGGGCTTGCATTTTAATGTCTGTACCTCAGCTTAGTTCCCTACATGCCCCCCACTGTCACCTCTAAAAGCGAGTGTCACCCCAATCAGAGACATGCAGCACCTCAGCTCTGATGAGGATTTAAACCCTCTCTGATGCTGTGCTTGGCTTCATAGTGACTACCATTCTTAATAGGTTTAAGACATTTTACTCACTCTATTTTCTTCAGCTTTTCCATTCTGGAAAACAGGTCCATTGCCCTCTTCACCTGCAGATTCTGTATCCGATTGTCCTGCAAGCTACACACAGATTCATTCTCATCAGTACTGCACACCCCCAAGGAATGAGCAGTTGATTTGAGGGTCATTGCCACAACACACTCACTTTATTTCCTCAAGCTAAGGGCAATGTGATGACCAAGTCAATGACCCTCTTAGCTGTGATGCTCTCACTTGTCAACCTGGCAAAAGAAAGAACCACTCAAACCAAACAGAGGGAGGACAAGCATCCCGTGCAGCAAACCGCAAGCCTGTCTCAGACGTGTGCCTGCACATCACCCCAGGCAGGAGGTGGCCGGACTCTGCCCCCTGCAACCAACTTTATACTCCTTTCCAAACAGGGCAATACAATACTCTTGATGTCAGCATAAAACCAGAGTCACACATATTCATGCTGCTCCACACAGCACTGCATTACTCTCTATACAGTGCTGCATGGACAGCAGCCTTGACTGAGTTGATGTAATTAAATTGCAAGACAGAAACAGAGGACAGAGAGAAAGAGACAAGGCTTTCACAAGCAAAGGCTCATTCTAGTGTCTTCAGGCTTGCCATTCCTCATAAGCTCTTTGACAGAGCAGGAGCAAAGTCTTTGCCATATCTCCTACTATGAAAGCTAAAACATGAAGGGAAAAAACATAAACACAACAAAACCCGAAACAAATAGCTCACAGAGCAAGTTAAATCACCATTTTTTAAAAGCACTTGATTTCTTTCTTTAACATGGTATCGGGCTCTTTTTATACAGCATCTTTATCTTTTCAAACATCAGTGCAAAGAAAACCCCAAGCCATTAAACTTACACATCAACTGTAAATACCTCAAGAGACAGGTTCTGCCTTTTGGTACAGTGACACCATGCGTAAGTGCTGCCACAGACAAAGAGTCAGCCCTACCACATGTTCCAAAAAGGTAAGGACCCTGGAGACAAGGGTCACACAGGGGCAAACCAAACTCCTACAAACAAAGAGTGTTTCTCAGCTCCCACATGATGAGCTGCTGAGTTATGAGAGCACTGATTTCAGGCCAGATACTTTAAATTTGGGCAGCAGAGTAGCCAGAGTTGTTCAAAATATAAAAGACACAAGGTGTTTAGGGAAAGTAACTCTTTTATAGAAGAAATTGGTGGTGTTGAAAAAAACAAGCAAACAGGGAAGCTTTCAGGCACCCTGGGCTGCACTTCTCAAACAGCATGTCTGGGGGCCCTGAAAGCAGAAACCCACCTATGGCTCTGTTGCCCCAAGTGCCCCCATCACCCTCCCCTAAACCAAAGGGGGTCAGGAACATGCTGCACAGGGGTGGTGGCATAATGTATATGGCCCACGGTCACTGGGAACACACCTGAGGTGATGCTTTGCCCACTGCCCTTTGCCCACCCTTCCAAGAGACCTAGTTCTCAGAGTGCTGGTATCTTGCAGACCATAACAAAAGCAGTCATGGACTAGAGCGTGCATGAGCCAAGAAAGAATCCCTCAAAATCCTGTGTTTCATTCTCCTAATGGAAGGGCACAGCCCAACTGTTTTGGTCGTCTGCTAAGCTGCTCATGGGCCCCATGCATGGCCCTGTGCCTGCATGAGCCATTTACAGTTAGGATGTACCATCAGAAAGCTTTTCTAACAGCGAATTGCACAGTATTCCAGTTCTTCCTAATGGAGGCAAAGAACCATCAGTGCTGTCCTTTTTAAAATGGTATTGCTAGCCAGGAACAGCAGTTTTTATGTCTGTTTTTGCTCCTCTGCCTCACAGCAGACAACATTCTCTTCAGGGCAAGGTAATTCTCCCCCTGGCTGCTCCCCATCTTCTACACATTAGCAACTCTACACATACTCCTCTGAAGTCAGTCACAGAAATACAAAATGAGACCTTTTCCATGACAGGATCCAAAGAGATCCTCCTTGAAAAGGCCTTCCAGCATTACAGAAAAGCACCTGAGATTGCAATTGTCACCTTTTGTTCATCTGGTTTATGGTGATTTCATACTTTCTCATTTGCTTGCAGGATTCACCCTGCCTCTGCAAGGTCAAGAAATGCCCATCATTTTCTCTCTTCTCTACTACACTTATTACCCTATTGTTTGATCATTTCAATCAAAACGAAGAAGCATAAAAATATATCTTTGTATTTATATATATCCTTAACATCCTTCCCTCACTCACAGTTTTTTTTTTTCATAAATTGCTTCAGTATCACAGTTATGCTGTTCCGCATTTCTCACATCTTCTTTCTCACCCTTCTAAAACAAATCCAGGCTCTCCCTTCCAACCCCTTACCCTTTCTCCCCACAACCAGCCCATCGCACTCAGTGTGTTTACCTCAAGTGCTCTACATTTTTACAGCTGGCCAGAATTTCCGAACAGTCAATGTCCATGAAACATCCTCTAAAATCCAAACAAGTCAAACCCTGGCCCAAGTTCATGACAAAAAGCAAAGCCAACATGTCCAGGGGTGTCAGTCTAAAGTTTTTGAACTCGTACTTGAAATTCAGCAGGCTCCTGATGTGCTGGACTACTTTGAGGTCCTGTGTTTCAAAAGTGCAATGGCAGAGTTCAATGACCTTAGGCCCTGTCAGATTAGTGGCTGCCAGTTTCCTGAGAAACTGCAGGATTACATCCTGCTTATCCTGCATCCAAGCTTCATCTTGTTCAGATAGCAGCATGAGAAATGTCCTACGTTCTTTTGACCACAGGCCTGAGAGGAAGATGTGAAAACTCTCCATTATCCCGGTCTTTGCCTTGTTCTTTAAAGTCCATTTTGACTTCAAAAATAACTTCTTCCTCAAGTAGTTCTTGTCCACCCTCTTACTTACCATGAGAGACAATGCTGCAAAAAACTCTTGCAAACTCAAGTGCACAAAGGCATAGCCACCCTCTGGGCAAGTGCCACTCATCTTCACCTCCAAAGCAGTCATCAGTCCATGTAAGGAAGCAAATTCCTTCACGTGCTCTGGAATTTCTCCAGCATAAAATACAAGATTTTTTTCTTCCAGGACTTTCATTGCAAGATCACAGAGACCCAAAATGGCCTTTTTGTTGCAGTGCAGCTTAGCCCCCTCACCACCTTCATGTTCTCTCTGCTGTTTATTTATGAAGATGAGAAGCATTTTGATATAAAACTGTGTCAGTGTAAGGAAGCTCCACATTCGTCTTGTGTTTAAGGAGCAAAGAGTTGCACACAACTGGGATGTGGCACATGCTCAGGAGCTTAATGTTGTTCTTCAGGTGAGCAACGGCTTGCTCTTTGAATGAAGGCTGATGAAAATAGTGGCTGGCATATTCCTTAATCTTCTCATGGTCAAATCCCCAAATTTCTGCTAGCAGATTTACTGTAGTTACTAAGAAGTCAGGTAGTCTCATAGGTCGGCTGGTGACCACCACTGTGCACCCAGGCAGGAGCTTCCCATGACAGAGGTCTGCAAAGAACTCAGATATGGACATACAGGAAGTAATGGTTGGCCTTCCCTCAGAAGAGCCTGACATGTCCATGTTAGCTGCAAACTCATCCAGCCCATCAGAGATGATCAGTGTACAGCAGGTATTTTCCAGCAGGAAACACTGCATCAGGGCTGTCTTCTGTCTGAAGGAACAGGTCAAACAAAAGCTCCTTCAGAGTCAATTTTCTTTTTAATAAATTCAGCTGCTGAAACTCAAACAGGGAAGTGAAGAGAAACTGAGATAGGTCACCTTCAACCCGTTTCTGATAAATGCTCTGCATTAGCATGGTCTTGCCTGCACCTGGTTTACCAAACAAAAAGATTACCTTCATTGTTTCTGATGGGACCACATTACAAAACAGATCTGATACTTTCACAGCTGTATCCACATATTCTTCTGGCTTACTTTGGGATTTCTCTGTTCCCTCTTTTAAGCAGGAGATTTTGCTCTGCCGAATGACAAGGCTGACAAAGGCTTGGTTGACAGCCAGTGGCTGCATTTGTTCCCACACTGCTGCTCCTGCTGCTCTCCAGCATCCATATCTCTGGCAGACAGAATCCATGAGGAGATGCCGGTACTTTTTAGGTGCATCTGAGAAGACAACAGAGCAAGTATGAGGGTGAAATAGTTCTGAACAGTGACAGATCCAAAATACTACCACTTATAGACACAGAAAACGTCGTCTTGGTCAGAGGCTGCTACACACAGCTGGGTAAAGATGACAAATTTTGGACACATGAAAATAACTTGTAATTTTTCCTACTTTTGCATAGGGGCTGAAGGAAAGCAAAATTAAGGGAAAAGGTGAAACAGTTTTGTAAAAATTAAATCTTAGTATCTCTTTAAGCTATTGGTATGTTACGCATATAACCTCCTGTTCATTAGCTCCCTGTTCACCCACACTGGCCTTGTGCCACACTTGTCAGCTTACCAGCACCCTGGGACACTGCTTTTGCTTTGAGAACAGGAGATCCCTGATGGTACCAGCATCTCTTTGCTGAAGACAGAACAGTGGCAATCATTAAGGGTGCCCAGCACCTTCTGAAAAACCCTATCCTCACTCATGTCAGCAGACAAGATCTGGCATCCTGGGAGCACCTCAAGGCCTTTCCTGTATGCAAACTGTCCATCAAAAACCAGCTCCAGCCCAGCTGCAGCTGCTGGGAGTTTTGCCATGCTCCCTGCAATCCCACATGCGACATTGGAGCATGGGCATCACAAAGCTAAAAACAGAGGTGGAAAAGGGTGGAAGGACAGCTGATGAAGGAAAGGACATAGACTCTGGTGCAGGACAGCCTGCAGGTCTGCTCAGGCTACTCAGTCCTTCCTGGAATTACTCTGCCTCAACTCTGTTACCACTCATCTACTCAGTTTTCTGTTTTAGAGTGAGCTGAAACCATACAAGTTTTAAATGTGCTAGAGAAACTGTGGAGCCTTTAGTGGGTTTTCAATTGCCAGTATAGCTCCTGATTTGGCTTAAAAAAGAGCAAATACAGGGATGACCTACAACAGAATGCTTCACCAGCGTATCACACTTCAACAGAGTTCTTAGCCTGTGCCACTCTTCTCCACTAGATTTAATACACCTCTGCAAAGGAAATGGATGCTTCTTGTTATTCACCAGGTTCCACTGTCTGTGTATTTTATAACCTGCTGCATTAAGAGTTTATGCACATACTAAATAAAAGAAGTTTCCCTCAAGCTGGGAGGTTGAGGTTTTGGGTGTTTAAATAGGTCCTTCCTCAGAGACAAGTGCACCACTGCTCTGCAGCTAGAACTTCTACTTACCGAGCTGCTGTTGTTTCACATCCTTCTCATGCATAGAGCTGCTGTGATGGTGACATCGAGCAGAACCTGAAAGTTGAAAAGTCAGAAACATGTCAAATGAGGATTTTGAATGGCGTATTATTAAAGCATTTGGGCAGCTGGAGAGGCGAAATCAGAGACACAAAACTATTTGCAAATTCAGGCTGAGTATACAGAACTGCTTTTGCAAATGCTGAAGTAAAAGCAGAGGGGCATCTAGCTATAGAAAGTCAGCTTGGTCTGGTCCTCATGAGGCTAATCCATCCTCTAATCTCACCCCAAATATGCTACAGCTCTCAGGAGTGACCAAGGGGTCTGGGTTGGTTTAAAGGCCCTTCAGTAATGGAGCTCCCTGAACCTTTCCAGGCAATTCGTTCCAACACTTCAGTTTGTTTATATGGATTTTTCCTAGTGGATAACAACAATCTTGCCTGCCTCAGTGTGAACTGCTACCTCCCCATTCTCTCCACTTGAGTCTTTCTGCAGAGAAATCAAGCAAATCCTTTGTCTTCCCTGAGACACATGATCAGCTACAGGGATTCAACATTTATCTAATACTGGAACATGATGTGCTTCACAGAGCTGCTTATAGCCAAATCTTACCCTTCTCAGCCAGTGGCAGCAGAGACATCAGAAACAGGGAGGTGCAAGCTTCTGGTGGAATCCTGGCTTTGAAAATCTTTGCAGGAAACAACATGAATTTTAAAAGGCATATTTTCCAAGAAATGTGTTAGGTTTAGCAAATGATGCTTTCATCCTTTTGCTCAATCCCCTCATTTGCTTAGAAGCACAGTGCCAAGTAGTGCCAGAACATTACAAAAAAGACCTATCACAACAGCTCATCAAAACGTACCCTCAGAAATAGTTCTGCTGGCAGCACAGCTGCTGGAAGGCAAAAATAATGAGGTACATGTTCAGAGGAGCATACAGCAATAGAGAGAACATTAATGACCTAACCAAAGATAGCAGTGGGTGGTGGAGTTTCAAACACTTGGATGCACATTTAGCAAAAGCCACCTGATTGGTCAACAACAGGGAATCTGCCAACCAGGCTGGCCCAGCCCCATCAGAACTTTTACATACTGCAGAGGTGGATAAAGTTCCTATGGTGCACATTAGGAACATGCTAGTGAAAACAGCCAGAGTTATTCCTGACTCAAGCCAAGGCAAACCCACTCGTGGGATTTCTTTTGGTCAACGACCTGGGTGCATTTGCTGGGTAATGTGGGAAGATGGGGAATTCTAATGTATATCTTAGGAAGATTTGGTTTTAGGTTAGAATGGCCAGTAAATTAAACTGTACGACGTTAACTGTCATATGACACTGCATATTATCTATCACTTCTATGGAGGCTCTATGCCATATCAAGGGTCCTATAGATTAATGAAGAATCATCTCTGGTGAATCTGGACAAGCATAGAAGTGAAGGAACCAGAACTGGCCTCAGCGTGCAAAAATCCAACACCACACATACCATTTTTCCTGCCCTGAAGGACTGTTACAACAGACAGAACCCAAAGTCACAGACTAAACTAACTCAATGGACTTTTATGATGGTCCACAGACTAAGGGAATTATATCTGTGTGCATACAAATCAGAAGACTGTGATGCTGATGGTGGTTAACTGGGATGTACTGGAAAATGTGGGAGCTGAGCTTGATGTAAATGGTATAAAAAAAGGGATGGATACTGTTCTGGCTTTGGCTGGGATAGAGTTAATTCTCTTCCTAGTAGCTGGTGCAGTGCTGTGTTTTTAATTCAGGATGAGAATAATGCTGATAACACACCAGTGGTTTAGTTGCTGCTCATTAGTGCCTGCCTTGATCAGTCTCTCATGCTCTGTCAGCAAGGAGGGGGCACAAGAAGCAGGGAGGAAGAAGAGACAGGACACCAGACCTGAACTAGCTTAAGGATATTCTACACCCCAGGATATCATGCTCAGTATAACAACTGGGAAGAGTTGAATGGGAGCCAGCAATGGCTGCTTGTGGACACTAGGCTTTGGTCAGTGGATGGTAAACAATTGTATTGTGCATCACTTGGGATTTTTTGTGGGGTTTATTACTCTCTCTTTCTCCTTTTCATTACTGTTTTACTTTGTTTCAATTATTAAACTGTTCTTACCTCAACCCATCAGTTTAACCTTTTTTCAGGTCTCCTCCCTATCCTACCAAGGAAAGGGGAGGTGTGAGCAAACAGAGGTGTGTGGTGCTTGGTTTCCAGCTGGGATTAAACCACAACAATCACAAGCACTGCAAAGCTACCCAGATCATGGAGGATGTGGTTCTGAGTAGATCTGAGACAGAAAGAAACTGAATAGCAGTACCACATATTCCACCCAAACACTGCAGAAAAGCCCACAGCCCAGTTTCTTTCAGTTGTTCTCCACTCTTCCTCAGGATTTAAATCCACCCAAAGCAGGGTAAGCTGGAGTGATGGACCTGAAAGAAAGCAGGAACACAAAATATCAATGACTAGATATTTCCACAGGAAGTTTCCTTGTGAGGGAAGCCAGCTGCCAGGTTAGCCTCCACAGGCTCAGCTGGCCACACACTGGGGAAGGAGGTACATAAACTGCTGTGAAAAGCTGCCCTGCAATTTCTGAGAATGACCGTAACCATCTCACCAGCGAGACTCCTTGTAGGCTAGGCAATACCTCTGCCTTGCTGTCAGCCTTGGGCATGTGTAAAACAATGAGGTGGTTGGTGACAGTCAACATGCCTTCACTAAGGGGAAATCCTGCCTGACCGATATGGTGGCCTTCAGATACAGGGGCAGAGCACTTGATGTCATCTACCCAGACTTGAGCAAAGTTCGACACTGTCACACATGACACCCTTGTCTCTAACCTGGAGAGACATGGATTTGATGGATGGACCACCATCCAATTGGCTGGTAAGGAACTGGCTGGACAGCCGCATAGAGAGTTGTGGTCAATGGCTCAATGTCCAAATGGACACCCGTGATGTGTGGTGTCCCACAGGTGTCACTATTGGGACTGATCCTGTTCAACATATTTGTCAGTGACATGGACAGTGGGATCAAGCACCCTCAGCAAGTTTGCCAATGACACGAAGCTGTGTTGTGTGGCTGACACAGTGGAGGGAAGTGATGGGATCCAGAGGGACCTGGATAGGCTGGAGAGGTGGGATCATGAGAACCTCATGGAGTCCAACAAAGCCAAGTGCAAGGTCCTGCCCCTGCCCCAGCACAAATCCCCGAGCTGGGCAGAGACTGGATGAAGGAGACCTGAGGAGAGGGACTTGCAGGTGTTGGCTGATGAGAAGCTCCCCATGACCCAGCTTCAGTGTATGCTTGAGCCCAGAACCCCCACCGTGTGCTGAGCAGTGTCTCCAGAGCATGAGCAGCAGGTCAAGGGAGGGGATTCTGCCCCTCTGCTGCACTCTGGGGAGAACCCCCCTGCAGTCCTGCGTCCTGCTCTGGGGCAACAACACAAGAGGGACGTGGAGCTGTTGGAGTGAATTCAGAGGAGGCCACAGAGATGCTGTGAGGGCTGGAGCAGCTCTGCTCTGGAGACAGGCTGAGAGAGCTGGGCTGGTTCAGCCTGGAGAAGAGAAGGCCAGGAGACCTTACAGCACCTCCCAGTGTCTAATGGGGGCCTACTGGGATGCCAGAAAGGGATTCTTCATCAGGGACCGCAGTGATAGGACAAGGGGCAATGGGTTAAAGCATAAACAGGGTTGATTAGGTTGGGTATCAGGAAGAAGTTCTTCCCTATGAGGGTGCTGAGGCCCTGGCACAGGTTGCCCAGAGAAGCTGTGGCTGCCCCATCCTTGGCAGTGTTCAAGGCCAGGTTGGATAGGGCTTGGAGAAATCTGGTCTAGTGGAAGGTGTCCCTGCCTGTGGAGAGGGCTTGGAACTGGATGATCCTAAGGTCCTTTCCAACCCAAACCATTCTGTGATTCTCTTAACAAAGGAACTGCTCCACTACCCTGGGGAACAGGGCAGGGAATAGGCATGTCTGGGGAACACACAGCTCACTGCTCTCCAGGGCTGTTCATGGCAATTAACTCCCTGTTTCTTATGGTGCATGCTAGGACAGAGAGAATGGGCAGGGCTGAGGGAGGCACGAGTCTTTCCTTTCCTAGCTGGCCCTAGTAAATTAAATTTCAGCACTATTTTCAAATGCCTATTCCACCAGCAACTGATGAGATGAACCACCTTCACAGTAGGGCAGCACAGCAGCTACCAGCAGCAGTCTGCCTGCAGAACAGAAAGGGCACTTTTGTTCTCAACATCTGAAAACTGCATATGGCACACCAGATACAATATTTGCAGTGCTGTAACTGAGAAGCAGTCTTGGAGTGAAAAGCATAGTTAAAGGGTCTCTCTGTCCATAGGAACAGATAGAACTGCAAAGGGCAAGTTGGGATCTATGACTTAAAACAGGTAACACCAATAGAGCTGGGCAAGGCAGGAAGTGCTCACTGCTCAGGGAGTGCAATGCTTGAATCCTGCCTCTGTCTAGACAGGAACAGAGAATGCAAACAGCAGATGAAAACACAGAACTTATAAGGTACCGAAGGAACTGGCAAGCCTCAGCAAGAAGCAAGGAGCTCCTGTTGCTGTGTGAGCTTTAGCCAGTCCCCAAATTCACACAGAAGGAAAAAAAATTAAGAGCAGCTTTTCCTTCAAATCATCTGTTTTCACCAACAGTGAAACCAGGACTAGCCCACTCCCTGACAGCAACACTAAGCATCTATCCAGGTCATGAGGCGTGCACTTCGCTCTCTGCACTGCCAGGGCCCTGGCTGTGTCTTCTCTAACCTGCTGAGCTTCATTTCTTGCTGCTTCATTTTACCCCAGCATACATTTCAGGAGGATACAGCAATCTCCTGGCAGCTTCCTGTATCACTTTGGGTTCCTTTGGCCACTACCTCCACCACCTATCCTCTCCCCATGCTGGATACAAGTATCAGAGCCCTTCTCTCTCTTTCTGCTGTGAGGACCTGAGCTGGTGTTTCATTTTCTGGAAACTGAGTGGCTGGTGGCTGAGGAGGTAACTCAGAATTTAGCAGCTTCCAATTATTCCAGCAGCTGTTACATGAGGGCCCACAAACACCCCATAGCGGTGGCGCATACCTTCACTGCACCAAAGGCTTCTCACTGACATTCAGATGATGGATGCCACCGCAAAGGGCAAAGGGCGAAGGGAAGCCTTCATATGTTAAATCCTCTCACTGCCATTTCCAGCATTTCCCTGCGGGGAGTGAAGGCAGGTACCCTGCTATTCCGAGCTCTAGTATTAGCATGAAACAACAAAGAACAAGGCTCCAAATGGGCATACATGCTGCATCACAGCCTCACACAAAATTCGTTCAACACTCAAATAGCCTGTGTCCTGGACTGCATCACCAGCAGTGTGACCAGCAGGTCAAAGGAGATGGCTCTCCCCCTCTACTGTACTCTCGTGAAACTCCACTTGGATACTGTGTGCAGTTCTGGTGTCCTCAACATAAGGACATGGAACTGTTGGAACAAGTCCAGAGGAGGCCACGAGGATGATCAGGAGACTGGAGCACCTCCTGTATGAACTTCCCCTGTTTAAGTTTAAATCCATCACACCTCGTCCTGTCGCCACAGTCCTCTATGAAGAAAGAGTCCCTCCCCAGCATCCCTATAGGCCCCCTTCAGATACTGGAAGGCTGCTATGAGGTCCCCACGCAGCCTTCTCTTCTCCACGCTGAACAGCCCCAACTTTCTCAGCCTGTCTTCATACAGGAGGTGCTCCAGTCCCCTGATCATCCTCATGGCCCTCCTCTGGACTGCTCCAACGGCTCCATGTCCTAGTGGACTCACCACACTTCTTATGGATAACAACATCTTCATTACAGCCACTGCCTCCAACTGCTAATGACCGATATGGGGAAGTGGTTTTCTTCTGGTATATTTTAAAACTGTAATTCCTGCATTTGTGGGTCAGGAAAATTTTAAAAAAAAAAAGGGATTTAACATCTAGAGAGAAAAAAATATAGTATTTTGGTTTTTGTCTTCAAATGAAGGTATCAAAACATTTCATCTCATCATTGAGAAATTCCTGAGCTATTACTGCATCCATGTTTTCCCTTCTCACAGCTATCACGATGCTCTCCACTCTCACAACAAGCAGTAGGGAATCCTTACAGCACAGCACCCCTTTTTCCCAAATAGACCAAATTAGTCTCTCAAGAACACTATATTCTCTCTGGGTAAAGTGACTTTGACCTGGTAGACACTTCCAACTTGGGAATCCTGATGATATGACCATGCAGGGTCCCACAAGGTCCACAGAATCTTCCATCCTCAAGTCCTACTGAAAGGGTGAAGAAAGTGCCCACCAACAGCAGCCAAGGCCTAGCAGTGGTGAAAAAGCACATCTGAAAACATGAACTATTGCTATTTGCTCCAATAACTATTTTTGGAGGTCCTGATCTTACTCTACACATTATGGTGAAAGGCAAGACTAAACCAAGTGGCTTGGTTAAAAGGGCTTGTAACTGTTGGACACCACAGAGAGGGCTGCCAGTTCTCACTGATGAGGCACTGACCATGTGAATGAGGCACGGATGTTCTCTCTGCCTAGCCTGGTCTGTTATCTCTGGGGGCCAAGGCATTGGCTGTTTTTGGAGATAGAGAAAGCTGGCCATTACCTTCCCCTGCCAAACTCATGAGCTGTATCTCCAGGTCCAGGGGGAAGCCACATTCCATGCAGAGGCCCTGTACAAACTGTTCCCAGGTGGCAGGGCCAATCTCCTCCAGCAGGTCAAGGAGCACTGAGACTTTTTCTTTGTGGTTGGTGATCCCATCCAGGCCATTCAGGGCCAGTCCTGGGAGGAAGCGCTGGGAGGTCGTCAGCAGCCATACAGGATGGTGGCTGAGGAACTCCACTAGCTGGGAGTGGGCACTGACTACATCCAGGTCTAGATCATCACTCTGAAATGGTGGTTAGAGGGTAGCAATGGGCATAGAAGTGAGAGATGTTCACACACGCAGCCCTGCTGTGAAGCAGCCAGCACAGCCCTTGATGACTTGATCTGCTTTTCTAGCCCTGGTCTAACTCAGAATATCCTAGTTGCCGTACTCTCACAGTGTAATGTGGACAGTCCCAGCCCAGCCATGATACAGTGCAAGGACCACAGTCCTTACCTGCACACTGCCTAACACAGCAGTACTGCGAAGGGCAGGAGCAAGCAACAGGAGTCAGTCTCTCTGGAATCAGCCAAAGAGAAGCTCTGTTGACATCTGTATCACTACAGTGGCCACGTGCCACATATGACAAGCTTCACATGCAGCAGGAGGCATGTGGAGAGACTTTAAGAGCAAGATATTTCCCTCATCAAAGGGCTCAGACAACTGTTCTTGCTGCTCCTTTTGTGGGGATGAACAACTCGTTTCTGCTTTGGTGTCAAAGTCTCTCTTCACTTTCACTTCCTTCTCACAGCAAACCTGCGCAATTACAGTGTCCTACCTGCATTGTTGTGTGGTCAGCCTCCTGTCAGTTGCCAAGTGCAAAGATAGCTTCTGCTCCATTCCCTGATGAAGAACTGAACTGCTAGCAGCAGCACTTCAGCACACCCCAACCCATGGTGCATGCCCATATGAGGTTGTCTCACTCCATGTAGATGCCTAAGGATAGTAACACAGCAGGATGCAGATAGAAAAGGACATAGACAATTACACAGACCACAGATCTAGAGCTTTGCCTTTGATCCCAGGGTCAGCTCTGGAGCTTTTCATCTCTAGGTAGCAACTTCCACTCAAACCAGCAGTGACCACAGTCTGGACATTTGAGGATCCACTACTGGTGTGATAAAAATGCAGGACTGAGCCTTGTGCCCTAAGATGCAAGTGAAGACATGCTTTACAGGAGCAGTTTAAAGGCATCACAGCTTTCCTGGTGTCACCGTCCATCCAACCTGGCCTGAACACTGTCAGGGATGGGGCAACCACAGCTTCTCTGGGCACCCTGTGCCAGCCCCTCAGCACCCTCACAGGGAAAAAATTCTACCTAAGAGCTCATCTCAATCTCCCCTATGTCAGTCTAAAGCCATCCCCCCTCGTCTTGTGTCCTGGTTTAAGCCCAGCTGATAACTCAGAACCATGCAGCTGCTCGCTCATGCCCCCCCCCCCCCCTTTTCTCCTCCCCTTTCTGGGCGAGATGGGGAGGAGAAATGAAAGAATGCATACCCCAAGGGATGAGATAAGAACAGTCCAATAACTAAAGTATAATATAATAATAATAATAATATTACTAATAATAATAATAAGGGAAATAACAAGGGGAGAGAATATAAAACTAAAAGGGGAAAGGGAAAAACCCGAGAAACCCAAGTGATGCCCAGTACAATTGCTCACCACCCACTGAGCAGCACCCAGCCTGACCCAAGCAGTGATCTAGCCCTTCCAGGTAACTCCCCCAGTTTATATACTGGTCATGATGTGCTGTGGTATGGAATACCCCTTTGGCTAGTTTGTGTCAGCTGTCCTGTCTCTGCTTCCTCCTGGCTTTTTGTGCCCCTCTTCACTGGCAGAGCATGAGGCTAAGTCCTTGGTCAGGGCAAGTGCTGCTGAGCAACAACCAAAACATAGGTGTGTTACCAACACTGTTCTCAGACTAAAAAACACAGCAGTGCACCAGCTACTAGGAAGGAGAAAGATAACTTTTACAACTGAAATACGGACATCTGGTTACTACAAACCCTTGCAAAAAGTCCCACTTCAGGTTTTGCTGAAATTGCTCAAGATGTTTGTCCTGCTTATGTTTAAGAGGATACTCCTTCACCATAACCCACCACTCTCTGTCCTCTCTCTACTGCCTCTTTGAACAGCCTTGCATGTTTATGAGACTAAGCCAGATAAATGCAGTAAAAGGATGTGAGCTGACTGAGTGCTGCAGCAGAGGATGGGGTGGAAAGGACCTCATCAGTCTTTTCTGTTCCTGCACTCCAAAAGACAAGCAGACATCCCACAAAAGCAAAGCTGGTGACACTGGATGCTCTTTTACTGATCTCTGATCCTTCAGGTCAGAACCATGTCAAAGCTGGTTATCACACAGCATTACCACATACTGCTATAACAGGGTATCACTGCAAGAAAGGCTTGTTCCAGGTTCCCATTCCAGATGAAGCTTTCAGGATGTGTTGTGTAAAAAGGGAGGCATCTCTGGGATCCACCAAAATCTGGGCAAACCCCCGCAATTTGTAAAAAGCCTCTAATGCCCATCACTCACTATTCTAACAAAAACAACATCAAAGTTCCTGGTGAAATGCTAAAATAGTTGGGCTTAACCAGGATCAGTTTTCTCCTCGGGCTATTCCCATAAATCCAAAAATTCAATTCTGAATGCCCTCCAAAGGACCCTGCAAGTTTTCATTCAAAACTTTTATTATGAAATGCATTTTATATTACCAGTTATACAAATAAAGAAGGCTAACAGTAACACATACATTAAAAACAAAGGAAGCAATGGAAGACTTAAAAAGAAAAGATTTAAACATGTCAAATTTTAACAAACTGCAAAATAGCATGGCTTCTGGCAAAAAAGAAAAAAAAAAAACAAAAAACAAAAAACCTCATTTCCCAGTAGCCTGATGAGTCAAACTTTAAGGACTTTCATTTTACATTTCCCCAGCCAAGAAAAATACCCAGAAACCTGTAGACAGCAACACCCGACTTTATTCCCCTGGTGATGTAGCACTACTACTTAATATTGAATACAAATATTGAATCATGCCAATGAACACTGGAAGCCATTCAGACAAAGACTATGAATTAATTTCATGTGAACTGATGAAAGACCCTTATTCAAGAAGTCTACACTGAGAAGTTAGATAAAAGCTCAGGCATTGCTCATAGCTCTTGTGCTACTACTGCTCTGCTAAATAAGACCATCAGAAATGATGGGCAGTGACCTACAATAAAACACCTCTGAGCTCAAAATGAAGCATAAAAACCTCCCAAGAAGAGCCAGGAAACTTTTGAGCCTTGACTCTTGGCCTCATCCTTCAGATGTAGAAACACCCTTAAAACACACTAGAAAACCACTCCTCACCTCCCCAACTCAGCATTCCCACCGTTCCCAACCACAAAAAAAAAAAAAGCAATGTCCAGCAATGCCCACAACTCCAGACAGAAACACCTGCTCGGCTTATCGGGCCTTGAGTAGGGTGTCGAGGATGGGGGAGCTCTGAGAGAACTGGGCGATGGGTGGACAGAACTGGGGTGGTTGGAGGGGACCAAGGAGTGGATGGAGCAGACCAATGAGTGGATGGAGGAGAACAGGGGTGAATGGAGGGGGACCAGACATGGATGAAAGGGACCAGAGGGGTGGATGAAGGGGGCCAGGGGTGGAAGGAGGGGACGGTGGGTGGATGGTGTTTCCACCAGACCAGAAGTTGTCACTGCACTACCAGTGCTACTCCTTTAGGGCCAAACGAGCAATTTTGTGCCTAAAAATCCCCAACATCATCCTTGACAGGCTCCCATACATCACTTCAGTTAGGAAAAGCTGTGATACTGGTGAGACCAACCCATTAGGCCTTAGCTGAAATAACTTTACTTTTTTGCATGAGTATGACTTAGCACCTAAATGTGACTGCTCACTCAACACGGGACCCCTCTGAGGGCTGGAACCTGCCCCTGAGTGGGCATGATAAACAATGCATCAGAATTTGACCTGTAAACGGCTTGAATCTACTTCTGTAAACTGCTTCTAAGCAGGGAAAGCCTAATGTTAACATCCCTAATGTTAACAATTTGAACAAAGAAATAAGCAAATAAAGAAATAATACTACTAAAGCTAAAAGGTAACCAAAAGACTGTTGTAGCCCTAACCCAAGTGTGCAGGAGGATGAGAGAACTACAGTTATATAACTTACTGAATTGTCTGTGTGCATGCTTCAGATAAAATTGTATCAGGATGAGAACGTAGTCTCTCTGAAATTTACTGTGCTTTGGAGACATGTACGGAGGTTTGAACCGCACGTGCTCCCGGCACCAACAAAGTGAATTGATTTCTTTGAATCACTGGTTTGATCCCAGCACCGGGGAGCAAAAGGCATCTCCATGAACGCATCCAACCTTAGCCCTGGACGCGGAAAAGCAAAAACCGCGGCCACACCAGCCCGCCCCGCACTCTGAGCGCTCACGGGGCGCTCCTGCTCCAGCCGCGGCACTCACCGCCGCGCTGTCCGTCGGTCACAGCGGCAGCGCGGTCCACTTCAAAACAGAAGCAGCCTGACGGCATCGGCTCCGTGCCAGGCTCGGCGACCGCCGCCTTCCTCAGCTCCGCTCCTGGCATGGGGCTGTGCCGTCATGTCGGGGCGGGGGTGCGGCGAGGGGCGGAGGTGAAGGTAGTGGAGGCGAAGGCGAGGCGCGGCTGGGCTCAGTGTCTGCCCGGCCCGGCGCTGCGCCGCCGTTTCGCGGTGGTACCGTCTGGGGTCTGCTGGACGCTTCCCTCCTTCCCCCCTCAGCAGAGCCCCTGCTCTCTGTGCGAGGGCAGCCGGCTGGTGCAGCCCCAGTGGGTCACCACTGAGCGGGCCCCAGCAGGTGTCTTTGGCTGGCACGGCAAGGCACCTCTAAGGGCAAAAACAAGGTGGTGTTTTTTTCCCTGCCATTTCTTTTTTATTAATGCTCGTCACTCCACTGGAATGTCAGGAGGACTTGACAGGCTTGACAGAAGCCAGTTCCCATAGAATTAAGCAGGCATTGCCATGCAGAGAGGGGACGTGTCACCTCAGTATCGGTGGCTTTAGAGCAAGAGGGAGCACAGACAAACCTTTAGCTGGTACTGAAAAAGCCGGCAGAGACAGCATGGGGACAGGGTGGGAAGAGAGGTGAGAAGGTGCCCGCTATACCAGGGCTTCTTCAAGGCTACCACTGGCCCTGCTATGGTGTCACTGTGAAAGCTGCAGTGTCATGGACACAGCTGGTTGAGACTCAGCAAG